GGTTCTTTTTCCACCATAAGTCTCTTTTATATCGAACGATCGGCGCAGATCGATCAATCCGCACGATTTCAATGATATAGACATATTTCTTCGCGAAACGGAGCTGAAACACGCTTGTCAGTTCCATTTTCAGATTTTAATCAGACAATACGATAGACGATATTTATGTGCTTTTAATATTTATAACGTTCGCTTTCGATATATGAGCTCTGATTATTCTGATATATTACACTTCCTAGTGTGTGAGAGCTCTGGGGTTGGCGTCGGGTCGTCGGTGTCGAGTTGGTGGCGTTGAGTTTTCAGCGTCGTCGAATTGTTAGCGTCGAGTTAGCGTTAAATTGCACGCGTTGAGTTCTTGACATCGTCGAATTGTTAGCGTCGAATCGTCAGCGTTAAATCGCGAGCGTCGAGTTATCAGCGTTCAATTGCGAGCGTCGAATCGTCAGCGTCAAGTTTTCATAGCGCCGAGTCGTCAGCGTTAATTTGCCAATGTCCGGTCGTCAGCGTTAAATTGCACGGGTTGAGTTCTTGGCATCGTCGAATTATTAGCGTCGAGTCGTCAGCGTTAAATTGCAAGCGTCGAATCGTCAGGGTTCAATTGCGAGCGTCGAATCGTCAGCGTTAATTTGCTAGCGTTAATTTGCCAAAGTCCAGTCGTCAGCGTTAAATCCTCACATCGTCGAGTCGTCAGCGTCAAGTCGTCAGCGTCGAGTCGTCAGCGTTCAATTGCAAGCGTCGAATCGTCAACGTCAAGTTTTCATAGCGTCGAGTCGTCGGCGTTAATTTGCTAGCGTTAATTTGCCAACATCCAGTCGTCAGCGTTAAATCCTCATATCGTCGTGTCGTCAGCGTCAAGTCGTCAGCGCGGCGTCATAAGCACTCCTTATGTCATTACCGAATCGTCGGCGCCGCATCGAATCGCAACCAACTCGCGTAAACATTCATCACGCATATATGCCTTTAATTCGGCTGACAAAAGTTGGTCCCACATCCGCTTAACTGGCCTTGCGTGTCTCGGAGATCCTCTTATTGTTTCACTGTACGATATTTCGGCACAACCGACTCGACAGCGTGCCAGAAGGTCGATCCGCGTGTAAATTACGAAGACGTGGTTACCAGTCCGGCGTTGAACCGCAAGATTTCATGGCGATCCTTTGTGTTTTGACAGATCGTACGCGATAACCGGCCAGGTATTCCCTTTATTTGCAAGTATGTACAAGCTCGCCGTTCCGCGGCGTGCATCCGTAAGATCATCTTTCAAGTTTTTCCGTGACGCGTCAGCCAACTTGGAAATGTTCCCCGTCAATCCACGCCGGATTTACTTTAATTCCCGTTTACGTAACGGATATTTGACAAGGTGTGTAACTGATTTTTTTACGCTTTCACTCGCGACGATTTGACGGTGACGGGGAATTATAAGTTGTTTACCACTTCGGTAGAAATTGCCATATTTAGCCCGACACATGATAAGATAAATTATCAAAGACGTTAAATATTCGTAATAGCAAAGGTGTTACCGAGATTAATCAATAAGTTACGGTAATTCGAATGTTCGAAGAACCGTTTCTTTGACATCACTGAATGAAATCATCATCCTTTTTGCTTGGCTGCCATCGTGTAAGGGGTCGTGAAACAAATTCGATGATAATGCAGAATATTGTTTTTATTGATACTTTACATCATGTCTGCGAATTGACGTTAAATACGTTAAATGCTGGTCGAATCCTTGTGTACAGTTCTTTCTGACTGTGTCGAATGTTAATATGCAGGGTGCCTTAAAAGTTTCTGCATCAAAATATGTAACTGGTCCTTCAAGATTTGATATCACTTAAAATTTTCCATAAATTTTAATTTCTTGCTAAAAAGTAGTGTACTTTCCCATTCATGAAGTAAGTGATCGATCGACCAGAAATGAAGAAAAAAGAACATTTTTCTCATCACGTAACAAGACGTTTTCAATCGTTACCAGTGCGTCAGAAACGGAACCCACGGCACAGGTTGCGTTTGTAACAAGCGGCACGACCACCTAGACGCCCACTAGGTGGTAGGTGTCTCCTGTTTTCAAGTGACCACGGCCTTTTTACGCTCGACGCAATTTTCTAAGAGGTTCCTTTCCCTCGTTGCGTCTGTGCGTGCATTGTCGTTGCACCAGATCGCCCGGAGCACCGGGAATGATGGACATCTAGCTTTTCTTTTCTCGTCACCGTAGACATTGAAGCAACGTTGCCTCGAATGGCTATCAATATCTGTCAGACTGTGGGATTTTGTCGCCAGAAGCAGAAATTCAGAGCACTGGATACCCTTCGTGTATCGTTTTACAGAAGAATTTTATTTTCTTACAAATGCAACTAAAAATATTTTTGATTCGAGTTTAAATAGTTTGAAAATTTCCTAATAATTAATTGTTTTGAAAAGCAATTTATCTTGAAAATAAAATAATTTCAATATAATGAAAATTATATTATTTCATTTGGAATATTTTGCACGCGTGTTCGTCGATGAAATAATTTAAAAATTATACTGTTTTAGAAATTGAAAATATGGAATATAAGATTGAATTAAAATTGGTCTGTCGTCCGAGAGGTAGAATTAATGTTTAAAAAAATAATTCCATATTCATTCATCGACGAACTAAATTGTAAAAAAGAGCCTAAAACGAAAGTTATATCACAGGAAACAGGATCTCATAAAAAATAACGCGTCGACGATGATGGTTACGAGCCCAACAAGGGTTATTCTTTCGAAACGTAGCACTAATTCATTGAAAATTTATCGCTGGCAAAACGTGTGCCGATTCTATGTGGCAATCATAAAGTCCGCCACGGAAATCGCGACAGTGTTGTTTGTCGCTGTTCTGGAAAGTGACGTAATTCGTAGGAAGAAACTGCAATGGCGCGAAACGTGTAATGCAGACCTGGATATTCACGGGACGACCTTATCGAGGATGATTCACCTGAATCATCCATCTTGCTCGTAATGCGTGGGCTCGTGATATTTTATCGGGAGGAAATCGAGCCTTTGAAACTGAATTCGTGAATCCGTAAATGATTCGGATGTTCACCTTGACACTGGATAAAATTGTTTTTCTACGAATTCGACAAATTTTTACGATTCTTTCCTATGAACCTATAACACTGTCTTAAGATCCTGAATAAAATTTATGACAAGGATATGTTTCATAATTTTTCCATAATCTTTTTGTTCAATTTGTGGAATTTATAGAATTTTAAATTTTCAAAAGGATAAGAACCTGTTCCATTGACTTTTTATTCGTTCACGCCCGAGTTTCTCTTATCGGAAAATCGAATTGATTAACCATATCTAGCGCACCATTATTCTCCCTCTCGGAACGAACTGTTCTCATGACTCAATGACGGTGTCGATGACAATCTCTTTCCAACAATCGGCGAACAGACAGTCGGATATCTACCCTTTTTTGGTTATCGCCTCGGTTGGATCTACCCTCACGATTTAGTGAATTTCTGAAACCTTGCAAACATTACCTTTTAACGTATTGTGTCCGTTGTTAACGTCATTCTTTATCCTCTATATACAACTGCATATTATATTAAACAAATTTAATCAATTTTATTTAATATAGAGCTTCCTCTTTGCTATATTAAATTATTACTGTGGCTTTAGAATTATTGGAAATTAAATTATTTTATATACATATATTAATTTTTTAATACAATACTTTCCTTTGATATATCAAATTACTCCTGCAATCTTAGAAATAACAAAAATTAATATATGTATATAAAATAATTTAATTTTCAATATTTCTAAGAGCACAGTAATAATTTAATATACCAAGGAGGAAGCTCTATATTAAATAAAATTAATTTTCAAAATTGATTAATTTTGTTTAATATAAGGCTTCCTCCTTGGTATATTAAATTATTACTGTGGTCTTAGAAATATTGAAAATTAAATTAAATTAAAAAACAAAATTAATTAATTTTTAAAATTAATTTTGTTTAATATAGAGCTTCCTCCTTGATATATTAAATTATTACTGTGGTCTTAGAAATATTTAAAATTAAATTATTTTATATCCATATATTAATTTTTTAATACATTACTTTTCTTTGGTATATTAAATTATTCCTCTAATCTTCGAAATATTAAAAACTATATTATTTGGCAAAATGAAATTGATGATGGTTAATAAAAAACGCGTCAAATTATCTCAAAGATAATTTCCCTTGACTCATCGAAACCCGGATGAAAAATCATTATGATTATCTTTGAACAACATTGTTGACTCGTTCGGAAGGTTTCTATTTTGGAATCCGTCATCTCAGCGTAAAAACCAACTCATAATTATTATCGACGATCAATGGCGCGTGAACCAAGCCACATTGTATTAAATCCATTAGCCGCGGAAACAATGTAAATACGAAAGCGAAAATGTTCACTGACGTAACACGGAGTCGCGTAAAACGGTGATCATTGTTGATTAGCATGCATCACTGATTAATCTGTCTGCATGGGAGTTTATCGTGGATACCGGATAAACCGGTAAACACGTGTACAGCATCGCGAAGATGAGGATGACTGGGATAACTCTGGTTGAGAGTAGTTGAAGCGAGGCGTTCGTGACGCGTGCCTCTTGATTGGCCGTGATTCAGGTACAAAACGATTTCTTTTGTTTGCGAAAATAACCAGAGCACGAGACTGTATGAAAACATAATGAAAATGTTTCGTTGAATCATCAACAGGGAATCTGCTTCATCGTTGGGAAACTTCAAAGAAATTATTCTTTCTCTTTCTATGGAACAGGTGGTGAATCTGATGGGACTGTGTTAATGGAAGTGACTGCTGCTAATGAGACTGCTGCTAAATTATTAACAATTATATGTACTGGTTTGATTTATAGTCGTCGTAAAAGGTGCATTCGAGGATGAAATACTTGCTAAACTTTCGCTGTGAAAAGGTAGATGAATTTTATAGATAAAATTTGTTTTTATATTTAAATAGGAGCTAATGATCTCAGTGACAGATTAAGGGGAGGTCTAAGGGGTGCTACAGCTCTGGGTCCCATTTCTCAGGGAGCTTCGTTATAAAATTTCATTGTCGCCTCTTTTCCTTATAATTAGATGTTACTTAATTTTATTCAAAGGACATTGCAATTTTTCAACCTAGTTTTGTAGGTGGGTGAGTTTATGATGTCAGTGTCACCGTTTAGACTGCATCCTCTTCGTTGAATTGTTAGAACATTTTCAACAGGAATTCGTGGATTGAATCTTAATTATCTTAATGCGTATTTTACGTAATCCGCTCGGTTTTCCCGTCTATAAGATCAATAAACATTCTCCAAAATACCGGCTGTTTGTAGAATCGTTCACTAAGTGCTAGAATCAGTAGGGTCAATAATATGGAGCCTCGTAAAAAATTCCTTTTGGCTACTGTTCGCAAAATAACCGAAAATTCGTTTAATCTACGTGTGTGTTCACCTTGACCACCTGATACGGAACCAGGCAACTGAAATTTCATTATGTTAACGCTTAAATGAGCAATATTTAGCGAGCAAAGAACCTCGATCTAATTTTTGCAGATTTAACTTAAAGAAATTAATTTATTTTTCGCTATTTCGTATGAAGATTTCATTCACACGAGAAAAGAAAGGTGAATGTAAATTTGAAATAGCATTAGTGTTGCAATAATAATGTAAAGTAGTAAATTAGAATCTTATAATGGAACTATGTTACTGGTAACGTGCTTTACCACCCGTGTCCACTTTCACTGTGACGATCAAAAAATTAGTCTTCACGATTCACATTATTTCACCCACATTTGTGTTAGTTTATAAATATAAAATCAAATGCATATGATAAATAAGATAAATATTGATTTCAGGCTGTCATGATTCAAAATGTTTCCTTGTCAAAAATAAGACTAAAAACGTGACTCCGAATTTGTACATAGAAATGTTCAGTATAATTTGATGAATATATTTAAGAATATTAAATTGCATTAATTAACATATTAAGTCTCATGGTGATCAAAGGCGATCAGCACTATAAATTTAAAAGAAATTCAAAAATCTTTGATTTAATATTAATATTTTGTTAAATTACACAAAGTAGCAAGTGGTTTTAAATAATTGCAATTATGAAGTGCCAATTAAATTTGGGTCAAGATTGACCCAGGCTTCGCTGTTCAAGGGTTAAAGTATAATCTCCTAAAAATCCTTGCATTTTAAAAATAAACCCAAGATGTCTTTCAAAATAAAAATTCAAACTTATCTATGCAACGAATGCCCTGTAATTAAGGGTTAAATTTGTATCGCAAATACCCCATGAAAAACTTCCATTCGCAACATAGATCCGAATAACAGTCAGACGTACCGTAACGTATGTTGCATCGGTTTAGTCACGTAGTAGCTCCTCGAGTCATCTTATTTTTAACCTGCTGGCATGTACAATACACGTACTTACGTACGTGTAACACGGAAAGTGTCCGGATCTGGGCCAGTCTGTCCACCCCACCCAGCACCCGGTAATCCGGTGGTCCCAACCATCGCGTTTATCCGATCTCCTCGTTCCCTACCGATCCCCTCTTCTTGTACCTGATGTAACTCCATCTCCCTCGAAGTTTTGCTCCAAGTTGCCGCGCTTCCATACGATCGGTTCAGAGTTTACTAAGAGACCACGAATCCTCCGAAGGTTCAGTGCGAAACACGCTCTCGAACTCGAAGGATCCTTCGACTTCTTCATCCTTTGATCCCCCACTTGGCTACGACTGCACGGAGAACGTAAGAAGACACAGGAAAGAGATACTTTCCCTCCCTGTTGGTACTCGCGAGTTCTTCACGCGATATCATACGACGAGGTACGATCTAGCGTGTTCAATTTTCATCTCGATGAACGACGATCGCGAGGATCGTGGTTCGTTTCTACCGGGTCTTGAAATCGCGAAGAATTGCTACGAATTTCTTGGAGGATATTGAAAAAGAAATAACAGAAGAATTGACGGGATGATCGACAGGACGTGGTTGCCGGTCCTTTTCGGACTGCTGGGACTCTGTTACGGCTTGCGTAAGTCTTTGAGGATTTTTGATTTCTTTTTAAGAAGTCTGTGGGTGGATGTGGTAATTGGGCAATGGATGAGTGTCTTTCTTTTTTTATTTGGATAGGATCTCTTAAGAAAAATTTTAATAATTCTGTTATAAGAGGATTCGTTTAAATTTTTATTTTCCTTATGATTTGGGTACCATGTGGGTGGATATAGTGAGTTGGTTCTTCTTGAGAAAAAATACGAAAAATGTGTTTGTCATACTCGTCCAAGTTCAATGTATCAATGTCCACGGTTATGAATGGAAATGATGAATGGAAACGTCTAACGATGGATTTTACGCTACACAAACGAGATTACATAGATAAGCTCGTATTACTCTAATCACCGTTCGAACCTTCCACTAACACCTTTATGTCACAATCGTTTTCAATGACAAAAATATAAAATTTATCAAAATCAGTGATCATTCATATAGAAATAGAATTCACAGAAAGTAAAAGTGTTAATCGAGTAACAAGATTGAAAAAACAAATGATGATACAGCACTAACTCGACTATTACGCTAAAATTACGCGATTTAACGTATCCTTGGTTATTAACACCTGTGGAATCGCGTGAGGTTACCGCTAGTTTTTTTTTTAATTCAAATGAGAACCATATACGTGATTTAAAGGCGAGGCTCATCGTCACTCTCGATCCTCTTCTTCTTTTTCTTCTATATCGAGAACACGAGTCGTCCTCTAAGGTTAGATTGCGCCATCGGCAACTGGAGCAACGATCCGTACAAGGACGCGGTACCATTTACGTCATTTAAATCCGGCCGCTCTTCGCTCCGTAACACGTGCAACAAATTCGATGTACACATTCCGTCGATAGGCGTGATGCATCCTTACGATCGCTAAAAGTATCGTGAGACCGAGCAATCGTTGAACGTAACTTTCCTTTTCGAGTGCGTTCGATGATCACGCGATTTGAGAAAATAAAAGCGTTCAACGCTTTCTCCGTTCAATGATCACCTTATCGAATTAAAGATTAAACAAAGTGCAATGTAAATTCTGATCATTCATCGAGTGTCATGAAAAAAAATTGATTTATTGCCTCGCATTCCCTGAAGATTTTCAATAATTTACTCTTCAATGGGAAATTTTTTCCACTTTCGATGATGATACAAAAAAAATTTTTATTTAATAAAGGTTGGAGATAATCGATGAATAGTTGTTTTCTTCTGCTTAGTATCTCTTGAATGATTCTTCTTTTTCTTGTCGTCAGTCTGCAAGGCTGCGTGGCTATGTAAACGACTATTATAGCAACAGTTGCATACGAAGGATGATGTCAACAGCAACGTTCAATCAGTGTACATAACAAACGGAATCTTTGAACCTACTAATTTTCGGCTTCTATTTTTATTTCCTTTTTTATTGTGCTGGTATTCATGGTCACGTAATATAATCTGTTTAACTCTCGAACAAATTTAGAAAATTAAATAATATTAAATTAGAATTCGGGCTGTCTCCATGGTCCGCTGTCCGGGAGTAAAAGTGTGGTCACTGATGGATGCTGACTAAATTGATGAACCAAAATTTAATTTCTTATTTTAATTAAATTTTAATTTGTTTCAGAATGCCCGAAGCAGAAGGTATCGCCAGGCAGGGAGGTGGTCTGCTACACTTCCGTTTCCGACGTCGACCGATTGACCGAGGCTGTTTGCAAATGCACCACTCTGGTGCAGCAAGGCTATGACGTGCGAAATCTTTCGATTTCCGGTAAGTCCAAAGGCATATTTCATTCGCTATAATTGGCAATAATCGTATGCAGTTGAAACGTAATAGGATAATTTTTCAACGCGATACGTAAATCGTTTGCAAAACGAATCCTTTGATTCCCGATAATCGTCACGATCAATGATAAAATCGATTATATCACATTTCTTATACAGGATACTATTGTGAATCAATCTGAAATAAATCATCGTACAATGTTATTGGAAATAATCGTTTTAATAAGCTTTCAATCTTTTTTCTCTTTTGAAAGATTGTGTTTTTGTTATTGCATAAATTTTCTGCTTCGATAGAGGTGCAGTTGCATCGCTGCACTTACTACAAGATATCGAAATGCAACCACAATAAACGTATACTCTTACGTTCGTTGGTATCTTTAGTATCATGAAATTGATTCTCAGTTTCCGTCATTAAACTTCTGCAAGTGCATTGTTATTGTAATAGTGAATGAAGGGTGTATTATTATATAAAACATTTATTTTAAATCTTGCAATGTTTAAAAGCTTTAAATTAATGGCATCTATCATAAAATGATACAATTTATCAAAGATTAAAATTTATAAAAATTGAACACAGATATTTAATTAGAATGAAAATTAAGTGAAAATTATTCCTTGAACTGAATGAATAAACCAAAAAAAGAATTATTTCAATCGGAAGCTCGTATAAAATCAAGGCAGAGACACGTCTGGCACAAGACATCGTTAAAATTCATCCAACACAATGCTCGATGAATATTCATGCCCATCGATCGCATTAATCTTCAATGAGCATCAGACATTATACACTTTCGATTTCGCGTTCAAAAATTGGGCTTTAAAGTATCAACCAGCCGATAAATTTGATATTATGCAATTTCAATTTGTTTCGACCCAGTGTTTTTAAGGCATTTGCATACGAAATGAAGTAGATCGTCTGTAAATTATGAATTACGATTGACCTATATTATAAAATCTTATGATCCGAATGATGAATTTTTATTAATTTTGAGTAGCCAAAATTTGAGATTTTTGTTATTTTTATTCTTAAACTTGAGTGTGAATAATTTTAAAAGAAATTATTAACATTCTTAATTTTACAATTTTTAATAAATTTACCACCGTTCTTAGATTTGTAATTAATTCTGCAATTTTTGGTAAAATTACCTCTGTTCTTAATTTGGCAATTCTCAACTAAACTTCGTTTAAAATTATTCACACTCCCGTTTAAAAATAAATAATGTCAAATTTCATTAATTAGATAAATCAATCAACTCACTAATGAATATGCATACGAAATTGTTCGAAGATTGAATGCGTGTGAAAGGTTGTGTAATACAAAATTGGGTCCATTGGGAAAAAACAAGATGGTTTCGAAATTTCACAAAAATCAATTTGTTATGCATAACAGAGTGTGGTACACCGTTGATGACGGTATGTCACGCGTGAAATCCAATATTCGTCCTCTGTATATGCATCACGAATCACGAGATCAAGAACGAAGGTGCAAGGGGATCGAAGAAAAAAAAGAAAGATGAGAAGAAGAAAAACCTGAAACGAAAAAGGCGTCGTTTGTGACATAATCACACGAAAACGAAAACCTCCAACTCGATTCTCTTCTTTTTCCCTCTGTTAGTCTCCGTTTCTTTGCCACGAATGGACGGGTTCGGGCGTTTCGTTTCTTGGTGAAAAATTCCTTTAATAAAAACCGTCAATTAAAATTGAATCGCAAGGACACACCATTGGAAACCAGTTCTCGAATCTCGCCCCCATTTCGTTTTTCACTTTACGCTAATTAGTCTGGTTTCGTAACACTTGAAATTGAACTCTATATTTTCTTATCGTCACTTCTGAAAGTACTTATTTTACATTTCTCCTTCGGCATTTTTTTCTTTTGAAAAATAAAATGTATTGGAGTAATTATTATGTTATTTGAATTTTCTTTGCCTATTTGAATTAATCATTTAAATAAATGAAAGAAATATTGAACACTCGTATATTAATAATTAAAGAAATTAACACTTTAATTAATTACATATGTTATTGTACGATGTGGACACTATTATAGTGCTATACTACTTAAAATATGCATTAGTATAATAATTGAAGCATTACTTTAACAAGATAGTTTTATTTATTTATTTTCTTTTTTCAGTACTTATTATTTTATTTAAAAACTGTAAAAATTGTCAAAAATTTGATTAAGTGCTCAATACTTTTTTCCTTATTACTATTTTAGTCTAAGTTACTAAATAATTTGAATTTAAAATTAGTTGGAGCAGTGTGTAACAACTTATAATTTCTTTTTAAATGGTATTTCGATCAGTGTCGAAAAATGGCACGTGTCTGTATAAAATTCGTGCATGGGTGTGGTTAATGAGAAGGGAGGACAGTCGAAAGTGGTTCTTATAGACGATCCAGATGTAACAGGGATCACTTTCCCTCGCACGCACAGTTGAATTATATTTTTTTCATCTTACTGTCCACTTTTTCTTTTTCTTCGAGACTTGATCTCTTCGTAGAGCGACGAATGTTTCAAGAAATAATGAATTTATTACAGTTCCATGAAATTTATTAAAACACATCCAGTTACTCCCAAAATTCTATTTGTTAATTAAAATTTTATCTACCAAAATATGGTTTTCCAGAATTCGAAAATTTTCGAAAATCATTGAAAGAGATCAGTCCAACTCTCCAATTCGTTATCTCTATTGATGATCCTGGAAAGACACTGAGAACTTCCGGTACAGTTCGTCAAGAGATCACCGCTCGTTTGATCGGTATTTTGAAAGAGGTAAATCAAGATTCTATATTAATACAAAAATTCATTGTTTCCTATTCAATAATAATTGAATTATTTCTATAGGTCGATGGAATCGAACTGAACATGACTGCAGGTTCCAAAGAACGTTTGGTACATTTTGCGAAGGGATTGAAGGACGAAATGGTGAGAAAATCCTATGACACAAGGATTTTCATGGCTCTCCCTACCAAACCAGAAGAATTGGCAAAACAGTTCGATCTGAAAGAACTATCCAAGTAAGATCCAATTCCTAATAAAATTTATAATTATTTATAAATCATGATAAATATGAAGAGGTAATCAAAATTCCACACTTGTATCTTAAAACCCATCACTCTAGTGAAAGGCATAAATATATGGATAAATTAATTCTTGTTAGAGATGCAAGAAAGAAAGAACTCTTTTCTATTCAAAAAGTGATTCTATTAACAGATTAAAGGAGCTTCGTTCACAGATTCTGATTATAACTAATAAACATCGTGATACGTGTCGTCGATGCAATTAATCCCATAAATTAATCACCAACCGAGTAAGTGAAAACAAAGCAAAAACTGCTCATCCATGTTCGGTGTATCTGTCTAACCTTGTGCCAATTGTCGAGTGCATAGCGCGTCGTCAGGAATGCTGCAACCATCCTGATGCACCAGTTGACCGTACGATTGTTCGATGATACGTCTCACGATCCGTGAATTGTTCGCGAACAGTCATCGAACTTGGTCTTTTCATTGAATATGAATGAGCTTCGGGTGCGGAGAATGTGAAAGAGATCGATAAAAATGAAAGTTGTCATCGCAAAGAGGATCGTGACAAATGGGATTAAGCACAGATTTATTACAAGATGAAAGATTTTGAAATTTCATAGGATACATTTTTGTTGTCTTTCCTTTGATCGTAAATTCCTTATGGCCCTAAATAACAGCAAACTATTGTTCGTATTATGCAACAAGTGTATACAAGATATTTAATTGAATATGGATGAGCTATTCAAATCAGTTATTACAATATGAATGAGATCGTTTTGAATGACATTTCTAAATAATCTGTGAGAATTTTAATTACTACATAATATAGGTCATTCCAGCGCCAAGGTAAGAGGAGTTATAGCCTTGTGCTCTAGTTTCCAAGGAACCCCATTATAAGCCTTCCATTTACTATGTAAAAAAATTTGTTTACTGTTGTCCTTTTTATTCACTGCTAAATTTATTTAATTTTATTTACAATAAATATCAATTTTTGAGCCAAGTTTATTAACCAAAGGGGCCCTCGAAGGTGTGATAGTTCCATGTCCCAGAAATCTTAATTCGTTTCTGTAGTATTAATAAATTATTTTGGGTGACCCTAACTTTGTCGGTTTGTTATCAGGTACGTGGACCTATTTACAATCCCCACAGACCATCTGGTCGAAGATGACGAAGCCTATCACACCTTTCATCCTTCACGATTGATGGGTCTGTTCGACATGTTCAACGCGGACAACTTGATCGACTTAATAAGCGGATTGGGAGTGCCAAAGAGGAAAATCTTAATGTCACTGCCATCCAGCGCGTACGAGTTCACTTTAAAGGATCAGGACGATAACGCTCCAAGGGCACCCACTGAAAACATGCAACCGGTTATCATTGATCAGAAACAGGTATGATGTCAATGTGACTGACATTTGACGGATTGATAGTTTAATTGATTGATTAAACGCTGATATTCCTGATTTTTCAGCTATGCGATTTGATGAAACAAGGGGAATGGACGGTTGAAAGGGACGAAGATCTTACTGCACCTTATACATTTAAAAATAAAACTTGGATCGCTTTTGAGGATAAAATTTCAGTTGGCATAAAGGTATGTAATAAGGGTTCTTTTATGTGTATTTGTGAGTAATTAATTTTTAATTATTGTTTTAGGGGAAATATGTATTGCTTCGCGAACTACCTGGACTTGCTATAAGGGATGTAGAAAATGACTCCAAAACGAAATGTGGCATGCCTCTTACGTATGAAATCAATCATTCTTTCATGGATTTCAAGAGGAAATCGAGGGCTGCTGTTTTGAATGCTTTGGAAGATGAATTGCATGTAAGTATCATCTTAATGATTTCCTTTTTTAACATCAGTCGTTAAGTATGATCTCGCTTTTAGTGATTTGAATGATTTAAAAAAATTGTTGTTAATTTATTAATATTGTACATAATTTCCAAATTGTGTAAAATTTAGATAAATTGTTATATTTGGTACAATTTTAGTTTTATAAATTTTATTTAAAAAATTTGCTGATTATGTTAAAAAGTGAAGTAGATATTTGTCATAATGTTATCAAGTAACTCGATTGTATATCAATAGATGGCGATACGAAGTTCATTCTGATTTCTATTTAAAACATTTTTTATTTTTGTTAATTTTAAATCAATTTTTAATTGCAGCAAACCCAACTATCTTACCCAACTCAAGTTAAATCGTCCGATTTTCGAGTTGTCCGTGTCGTGGACACCGAAGGGCACATTCGAGTAGTTCGTGAAAATACTCAGACTGAATTCACTTGCAACAGACAGGGCTACTTTGTTCATCCAAAGAGTTGCAATAGGTATTGCAATATTTCCAATAAATCCAACTTCACTCAAATTTTATAAATATATTCTGAGACACGTTTATTTTCCTTATAGATTTTATCGTTGTGTTAAATTCAACCAAGAAGTCGAAGACTACTCTGTCTTCGAATTTGACTGTCCAGCTGGTTTAGCCTTTGATGAGACCACAGAGGTTTGCGTCTGGCCAGGATCGTTATCTCAAGGATCTCCATGTCCTGGAAGTAGCGAAATTGCACCTGTAACTCGAGTAAGATTCGAATGTCCTTCAACCCCTGGATACTACGCCGATCCACAAAATCCACGATGGTTCTTCGCCTGCATAGACTTAGGTTTCTATTCTTTATTCAATCTATTCCCAAAAACTTAATACTTAATTACATTTGATGTTTTAATTATAGGAGGCCCACATATGATGGCATACGAATTCCGTTGTCCATTCAGTCTTATCTTCGACGAACATAAGCTGGCCTGTGAGTGGCCTTGGTTAGTAGAAGGTTACTCTGGCACTGGCTATACAAGAACTGAATATGGCAATAGTGGATATGGTACTGGGTCCACTCCGGGTACTGGTGGATATTATACTGGAGCATTGCCTGATGGATACTCGGGATCAACAGGTGGATATGGAGGTGGATCAGGATACCAAGGTGGAGCTGGATCTGGATCTCAAGGCGGAGCTGGATATCAAGGTGGAGCCGGATACCATGATGGAGCTGGATACCAAGGTGGAGCTGGATCTGGATCTCAAGGCGGAGCAGGACATCAAGGTGGGGTTGGATCCCAAGGTGGAGCTGGATATCAAGGTGGAGCCGGATACCATGGTGGAGCTGGATCCCAAGGTGGAGCTGGATCTGGATCTCAAGGCGGAGCAGGATATCAAGGTGGAGTTGGATCCCAAGGTGGATCAGGATATCAAGGTGGAGCAGGATACCACGGTGGAGCAGGATCCCAAGGTGGAGCAGGATACCAAGGTGGAGCTGGATCCCAAGGTGGAGCTGGATACCAAGGTGGATCAGGATATCAAGGTGGAGCAGGATACCACGGTGGAGCTGGATCCCAAGGTGGAGCTGGATCTGGATCTCAAGGCGGAGCAGGATATCAAGGTGGAGTTGGATCCCAAGGTGGATCAGGATATCAAGGTGGAGCAGGATACCACGGTGGAGCTGGATCCCAAGGTGGAGCAGGATATCAAGGTGGAGCAGGATACCACGGTGGAGCTGGATCCCAAGGTGGAGCAGGATACCAAGGAACAACAGGATATCATGGTGCAGGTGGTGCTGAATCGACAGGAACAATAGGTAAAGGTTCAGGATTTTCTGGAGCAGCTGGTGTTGGCTATTCTGGCTCAACCGTAACTGGAGGGTATCAAGGATCGACTGGTGGAGCTCATGGTGGATCTGGAATAAGTTATACTGGAGCCACTGGTGGGGGATATCAGGGATCCGGTTCTCATGGAGGATCTGGAACACAGTACACCGTACCAAGTGGAGGAGAATATCAAGGATCAACTGGTGGAGCTCACGGTGGATCTGGAATAAGTTATACTGGATCTGCTGCTGGCGGATATCAGGGATCTGGTGCTCATGGAGGATCTGGAACACAATACACTGTATCTACGGGAGGAGAATATCAAGGACCAACTGGTGGCGCTCATGGTGGATCTGGAATAAGTTACACAGGAACTACTGCTGGAGGATATCAAGGATCTGGTGCTCATGGAGGATCTGGAACACAATACACTGTATCTACGGGAGGAGAATATCAAGGAACAACTGGTGGCGCTCATGGTGGATCTGGAATAAGTTACACAGGAACTACTGCTGGAGGATATCAAGGATCTGGTGCTCATGGAGGATCTGGAACACAATACACTGTATCTACGGGAGGAGAATATCAAGGACCAACTGGTGGCGCTCATGGTGGATCTGGAATAAGTTACACAGGAGCTACTGCTGGAGGATATACAGGATCAACAAGCAGTGCCCATGGAGGATCTGGAACGCAATACACTGGATCTGCTGCTGGAGGATATGCAGGATCAACAAGCAGTGCCCATGGATCTGGAACGCAATACACTGGATCTGCTACTGGCGGATATCAGGGATCTGGTGCTCATGGAGCATCTGGAACACAATACACTGGATCTACGGGAGGAGAATATCAAGGACCAACTGGTGGCGCTCATGGTGGATCTGGAATAAGTTACACAGGAGCTACTGCTGGAGGATATACAAAATCAACAAGCAGTGCCCATGGAGGATCCGGAACGCAATACACTGGATCTGCTGCTGGAGAATCAGGGGTTTATGTTGGTTCAACTGGACACGGTGCTGTAACTGAAGGTTACCGTGGATCAGGAGTAAAAGGAGGCCATGCTGGTTCTCCTGGAGCCCAATATCCAGGACCGTCTTACGGAACTGCATCGCCAGGATTTTCTGGAGGAGTTGATTATTCAGCTTCACCTACTGGTCAGACAGGAACAAAGTATTCTGGATATGATATAGGAGGCATAGGTGGATCCTCGGCACATGGTCAAACGGTTGGTACTTCTGGAAGTGGAACACAATACTTTGGAGCAACTGGTAGTCAAGGACAAATACGTAAGTTCTAACAGAAAAGTAATTTATCTCTAATTGTTATTTAATTAAAGTGGTTTATATCCGATGTATTCCACAGCTGAATCCACTTACGTACACAAACCTGATGGACCGCGTTACAACTGTGTGACTTGCACTGCTGCTCAACCTTCGTCTGGTCAGACCTACGTAACGGACGGTTACCTTGCTAGCCATGGTGCCTCTGGTTCTGGTGCAACTATTTATCAAGGTACCACTGGATACACGAGTAACGTAACTTTGGGTGGAAGCTACGTACCTTCTGCTGGAGGACCAACCTACCACGTGTCGCCCTCTGATTACGGATTTTCAGGAGGAGCTGACAGTGGTACTATCATTACAGGACATAATGTTCAGGGGTCAATTGTCACTGGAAGCTCTTCTCCAGGAACTCTTGTTACTTATAGCCAGACACCTGGTGCTATCCTATCAGGATCTTCCGAGCAAGGAACCATAGTAACCGGAGGCAGTTATCCAGGATACACTCAAACTGGCGCAGGTACACCTGGATATGTAATCAGTGGAGGTGTCAAAACTGTATATCCTGGCTCCGCTAGTCCTGGAACTATAATACATGGAGCACATACACCAGGTGTCCTATTAACTGGCCCACCTGATGCTGGAACTATTATAAAAGGACAGCCAAGTCCTGGCGTCGTCCTAACAGGGCAAACAGCACCTGGGGTGTCACTTGGTGGTGCAGTCGAACATGGAACAGTCATTGGCAATCAAGTATACACTCAAACAGGTTACACGACTCAACATGGAGGTACTGGTACAGGTGGCGTCTATGGAACGAAAACTGGAAACGTGCCATCAACATATGACACCGGTTACAAGACAAACGAATACCATGATAATGGAGGACGTGGTACTATTAGGTTCAATAATGGCGATGTAACTACCAAGTACACTGAGAACGACATTCCGGACTACAGACCAGCCGGGGGCACTATACCTCCTGACACTCTTCTTAGTGGAGGTGTTCCAGGGACATCAACACCAAGTGGATTCACAAAAACTGGAATCACCAAGACAGGCTTCACCACAGCCTCTTTAGGAGGTGAAGGTAGTTACGTGATTGGCACTCAATCAAGACCTACACCTAAACCTGAGAATATAGGTGAGAAGGCTTTCGAGGGTAACGTGGCAGGATACACCAAGTCATCGACTGAAAGTAGCATCAGGGGCTATCCAAATACCCCTTCGACTCAGTATCAAAGTGCTGGTCACGATGATACCTCCAGGATCACTTTGGGTCCATCAAAATTCACTGGCTACTCCTATCCTAGACCAAATGTTCCATTCGTAACTGGAATTACATCCTCTCCAACTGGATCAGTTTCTCCCACAGAGGGCAATGTCCTCACAGCAACAACTCCGACACCATTCTTGAATGTAGAGGTGTATAATAGCCCCAAGTTTGGTACTTCTACACCTGGTTCACCTGCAGTTGTGAACACCTATCAGAGACCTACAGGCTTCGTCCATGTCACTTCACCAGCCACACCGATTTACACAACAGGACCACTTGAGAATTACAAAACAACTATTTTCGAAGCTGCCAAGGTTCCTATTGTTGCATCTACAGTTAGGCCTGTGATCGATAATGGTTATAAGACCATAATATCTTCAACTCCCATACCAGTGACCTTAACTCACGATCAGTTTGGTGGAAATATTCAGACTGGATCTGGGTATGATCAAACCCAGTTTGGATTTGGAACAAAGTCTCAGCAGGCTGGATATGGACAGAAGGATTATATTTCTGGTACGACACCTTCTTCAGTGTTTGAAGTCCCATCGAACACACGCCCCCAGGTTAGTTTCTTTAAGGTTAATCGTGGGCACAGATGAAAATATAGATTAATTTTCTTTATTACGTAAACTCACTTTAATTTAGATTAACTATGGGTCACCTGGTTCTGCATACTTTGGTTCAACCTCGAAGAATGCCTTTGAGCAGCAGTACGTAACACCTTCCAGTATTTCAGAATCATTGAAACCACAGGTGAGTATTTCAAACATCTTTTCCTCATCAATATTTTATTTGATCAATACTTGATGAAAACGGATATTAATTTCAGACTCAGTATATTCCAAGCAGTACTCTTTCACCAGCTATTGGTGTAACCTACAGAAAACCATTCACTTTGCCTAATCTCACACCTACACCATCTCCTGGTTCATACCCCAGCTCTGGACCAGGTTCCATCAGTGGTGGATCCCCAACAAACGTAAATATTCCTAGAGACGAAGTTGGAAAATTGATCACCAACTACAACAGAGGAACGACCAAATACGTCCCAAGTGAATATGACGTCTACTCTCCTGGATCATTCGGTGGATCATCTTCGTCATCCACCTTCGGACAGGGATATGGCTCGACACCGTCAGTTCAGAAAACACAGTTCCCTGTTGGAACTTACTCTGGAGGTTACTCGAAACCCTCTTCCATAAGCACCTATCAATCCACTGCCAAATCTACAGCTGTAGGTAAAGGAAAGGTGATCGTCAAATGGAGTGACCTTCATCCACTACTTCTGGGCAAACTGGGAGCAGAATGCACCTGTAGAGGTGATCCTTTTGCCAATCTTCGTGGTCCAGGTTCCAGACTGATCAACTCCTCCAAAGGCAAAGTGGATCTGTCCAGTTATGACGAGTCTGAGATCTATGTAGACCTTGAAAAGGACGGTTCCTATGAAAAGAACGACTATGTAACCAACTATGACGGTCCAGTTAAGATTTGGAACGATGAATTAGCTCAAGTCCAAGAGAAACCATCATCCACTTATCTACCCAGTGTTACTCCTTCAACGAACCTGGGTGCTCCTTCCCAAAATTTGATCAGTGGCTCGTCGAATCGTGGTTTCACTGCCAATTTTAGATCCGGGAAGAGTCTGAGTAATTTTGATTCCTCCTCTAAGTTAGCCGGAAACAGAGGACAGTCTTTGGATCAGCAGGAACCTGCAGCATTCGGTGACTCTGAGGAAATTATAGATGGTGCCACTAACTGTGCCAGACCCGGTCTCTTTCGGCATCCTAATTTCTGTAACAAGTTCTATGCTTGCCATTGGGACGAGTGGAAGAAGAAATTCACCCTCCACATGTTCAACTGCCCGGTGCATTTAACCTTCGACAACGGCGCGAACGCCTGCAATTGGCCCAGCATGGGGCCTGCCTGTCAGGACGATAATTTGTTAGTTTAAACGGTTCACTGTCGACCTTGAACGCGATGGTGCACTCTCGTGACACCTCTTCTTCGTTCAGATATTCAGGGCACGAGTACAGTTTGAATGCAAAATGCAGTATCGAAGAGTTTGGTGTAAACCAGTTATTGGCAGCAATCGATTTTATCAATTGGCATTTCCAGCTTATTCGTAACATATAGAACTTAAGGAATTCAGAATGTCATCGTATTTTAATTAAATTCTTACTCATCTGTTAAATTTTGAAGTCAGGTTGAAGGCTTAGGTGGAGTTTATACTATTTCCGTTCACAAATTATCTTGATGAATTTTATTTAATTATCTTGGTACAGTAACTTTGATTGATGGCAATTTTCAAAATTTTGAAATAGGGGAGGTATAGGTCTTCAGATTCCTTATATATACATTCTGTGACAAGGAACAAAAGGCCATGAGGTAATATTTAATTATAACGAGGTAACGGTTTATACTGAATTTCTTTGCATACCATTGGAACGTTCACCTGAACAGGCGTAACAGAGAATGCTTTCTCGAGGTAACGAGGATCGAGACAAAGAAGAAGAAAGATCCAAGGCGATCGAGGTGCCACCACGCGAAAGCACACTGTATGTCCAGAGTGAAAGTCAAACTGTACTCGACGATCCAAATCGCGAGTGAAGTCGATTAAATATCGTCGAGAATCATTGTAAATAACGTCCCCTGTTCCTCGAAATTTGTAAATAACCACGCGTTATGTATATCCTAAAGCTAACAAAAAATGAAATTGGGAAAGTGGATCCGGAAGTGTTTGACCCTTGAACGGCGGACCATGGAGAGAGCCCCAATTTTAATTTAATTTTGTATCTGATATTATCTCGTGCACCCCCCGATTCGTTAATTCTTCTACCTTGATTTCTGACACTTTCCATTTAAAAATGGAAGTTTATTTTAATATTTCTATTTTTTATGCGTTACTTAAGCTTGCCTTGATTCTGTGTTCATCTCGTTCCTATATTTCCCCCACTCTCTCTCTCTCTCTCTCTCTCTCTCTCTCTCTCTCTCTCTCTCTTTCACTCTCTCGCTTCTTCTTGAATGCAATTATTATTTATTTACAGCTTATTATTTGTAGGTGTTAAGGATACGATAAAGATCTATTGATCTACTAGAATCGACAAGGATTTCTGTTTGCACAATTCTGAATCGACGCTTCGATAATCAGTGCCATTTTATCGTGGTTATCTAATTAATATGTAATATGTACGAATATAGAATAAAATAGTAAGACGTGTCAATTTCATTCGGATGTTTTTATTAATTGTCAAATGAAACAGGGAACAGCCTCGGGCTTAACTTTCGTTTGTCCCATATAAAGTCAACAAGGCGTGGTTGACTTTCCATTTAATGATGAAGATGGTCAATTGATCATGATCATCTCCGAAACGAGATCGCTGATGATTAATGCAAAATAATATGGATAAAGTTAAATTTTTGCATATTTTCAGCTTTTACTGGAATTTTCATTACAAAGTAAATTATTTTTATGATAAATTACATTGTCGATGACCGAATATTTTGAATAATTAAACACTATCACCCTGTGTATAGTAATCTTGATAGAAAGTTGTATCCACAGAATCATAATTCATGTACCAAACATGCATAATTAATTTCACAGCTAGGTGACTTCGAACCTTATCTTTTTTTTTTTTTATCGAGAAAGTTTTCAAAAATTTCCTAAACTAATTACCATAGAATGGATTGGAATGATTGTAAATTTGGCTTTAATTAAAAATCTCAATACACGGAGTGTAAGTATAGAAAGCAAGTATGCTAAATAAAAATCCATGAAACGACGATTTCTCCGTGCATACAAAATAGACAAATTCTTAATAACGAACGACCAAAGAAACACAAGCTTTCAGTTTGCAAGAGAAATTGGCTATAATAGCAATCGTGTATAATATTCATCCTTATTCACGTTTAATTATAAAAACATTCGAAATGCTGTAACAATTTGAGACAGGTTGGTTGCATCATACGAAAGTTACAAATAACGTAATCGAAATTCTATCAGATTGAATCATTGTTACTTGGAATTCATTGAATTGTTATTCAAGAGATCATTCAAAAAGATATTTCTGTTTGAATGGGTTTTTTTTATAAAACTGAACATTAACGGAAAGCAGAATGAAATTTGTATGCAATCATTTTTATTTTTATTATTATCTTTCAAATTTGACTACTGTCTATTTCAAGATTGATCTACCCATCCAGGACTGAATGAAAAATACTTTTTCTTTTTTCATCTTCGAATCCTCTTGCTCTTCGTAAAAAGAAACGAAGAAGTCAAAGGAAGAAGAAATGGAAAAAGGAGGTCACCAGAAATAAACCGTGTCGCCGATGACCCACTGATACATTTTCGTTCACTTTGTAAGTGGGAAATGACACACAAACACCTTTGTTTCTTATTCAAATGAGAATATAAAAATCTATCATCTTTCTTGGGAATATTCCTGTGTTATAGTTTAAATTTTATATCATGAAACTCTTAGTATCTAAGGAAATAAAATTCAAGAACAGTAGATGCACATTACAAGACAAAAGTGGTATGATCAAAGAGGAAAGGAAGTAATTTTGAAGAAGGAAGAAGGAAGAAATAACTCAGAATTTTCTTTAATAACGGGTTCTCATGCGAGCTACTGACCATGCAATAACTGCAATTATCACGGCTTTCTGATACTTTCGGCTCTTTTATTGTGTAGTTTGTTGATTACGCAAAACTTAGACTTCCTGTAGAAAAAAAGATAGAGCATGGTATAATTTGATCTCGTATTACAGTCCACTTTGAGGTAGAAAAATATCTGTTTTTAATTTCTATTATTAACTATTTTTAATTTTTACAGAAGTTAAAATAGCCTTCCAAGAATTATAATATTATGTAAACATAATCTGAGAAATCTGCTTATTTGAAAATCGAGAGTACTTTTAAAAATGAGCACAACTAGTGAACGCAATATGGACCTGAAGAACAAGGTGATACGAGCCGAAAGTCAAAGTGAAAGTTATTTTTCGTGGTATAAAACAACCGATATTATAATTGGAACTTTATTCTGGTCAATGTATTAGTGTGATATTTTCAATAATTACATTTTCATGTTATATTAAATTAATTACCCCAATGGTATTTAACGAATTTAATAACAGTTGGCTGCTTTGCAAATCTTAGGTGAATGGCACAAATTGATAATTATTAAAATTTCTTGCAAGAATAATTACTCCACGTCCTAGATTTATTATTATGACTGAGTTTGCAGGTGGCACTGTATGCCAAGAGAGAAAATTCATTTAAATTCATGCTAAATATAGTCCGTATTCAATTTCTAACTGTTCATGAATATCTTCAATTAAGTTTAATAAAGATTATATTAAATGGATGCTGCATTGAAATGTTATTTGAAAGGCTGGACAAATGATGTTCAATTAGAGAGGAGAAAAACATTCATTTACTTATTATACATTCAACTTGGAACTCAAGGAAATCGATAGTTTATTAAGTCACTATCGATAAGCATGGAATAATAGTCACCTGTGCCATTTGCATACCTCAGGTTTATATATTGAAAATGTTAAAAAATAATTATTAACCCTCGGACAGTAGATCACCGAGACAGCCCCGATTTTAAATTAATTTCGTGTTTCATTATTATATTTTTTTTTCAAGTTTACTGTGCCAATTTATTTATATCTAAATTAATATTATTGCCTATTATTTTTTTTTTTTAAGTTTACTGTGTCGATTTATTTATTTATAATATTTTATAACAACTAAGTAAGTAATATTTTGAATGCTAACTAAAATCCTAGATATTCATATTTTAAAAAAATATAAATTTCTAAATAGTTTGTGCATTCAATCTGCATATTTTTTGCATATTTAAAAATTTGCAATCTATTCGTAACTTTTAGAATCATGTATAATCAATACGATCATAATTCTATGATGAAAAATATCGCGCAATCACGTTGCATGTTTTTGGAATCCTCCTTTCTAAAGGGTACAGATTCGAAACCGGTATCATAGAGGAAATTTTACATCTATACGTATCTGTCTTTATTCAACGTTCTATCGGTAAGTCTTGCCTTTACTGGCTTACAGTAGTCGGACTGTCACTATCTACTCGACGAGTCCCCGTATTCAACAAAGTTTAAGTAAGAAGAGGGGGGACGACGTAAAGTACAGCACTTGACACAAGGAAAGGAAAGGAATGGAAGGAGGTGAGAGAGGAAAGATCGGAGGTGGCGTCAAGACCAAGCTGTTCAGACTCCAAGGTGATATAAAGGCGTACGTCGACTTCACCTGGTTCAACTTACCTGAAACATCGAATAGCTACGCTGTCCAGCACCACTGACAACATCCGCCACTACCACACCACTTTCTACCATCATGTGAGTCTTTTTAATTGATTAATCATTGATTATCTCTAATGATGTCACATTAAAAATCATCAGAACCTTGTATGACGTTAGGTTTCATATAGAATTGCTTGTGAAGGTATTCGAACGCTTGCATTAGTAATTAGGAACAGTTTAGGTCTTCTTAATTGATTGATTATTGATTAATTCTAATGTCATATTAAAAATTTGCAAAAGCTTATTAAAATAGCTAATCAAGGTATTTTAATACTTGCAAATAACTTATATTTCTAAAATAATATTACAATTAAAATAAAATATGAATATTGCAAATACATGGCTAAAATTAAAAAAAATTTGACGACTCGTATATGTTGAGTTGCTCAATTAAAAATTATATTCAACACTGATATTTTATTTTAATTACGGCATAATTTTGGAAATGTAAATCTAAAATGTGTATTTCATTTATTAAAAATTTAATTTCTGTTAAATTATCATTGCTCTATAAACGTAGGTATAAACGTTTTAATTGCCACAGTTCAAGTTTTTTCTTTTAACCATGCAACGAACGTCATAACACGTATGATGGTAATCACGATGAATATTTACAGCGTACAAAGGAAACAAGTATAATTTGCATTCATTTAACGCTTCGACCTTCTGCCTTTTGTCTGCATTTCAGCCAATGTTTTAAAAACAAAATAGCAATTTTTCGACCTTCTTTTAAAACCATCAAGACAATATACATAAAACGTTTTATCTTGTTAATTTATATTCCACAATAAGCGGATCACATTGCAGATCGTGTTATAATGCATGTGAGGCGTTGCATAAGATGTGCAGTATGACGTTCTGACACCATTTTATGGTTTATGTAAATCAGAAGTGCTAAGTCTTCTTTTCTTCTAATCTATTTGTTGCATAAGTACAATTAACGATGACACGGTTAATTTATGAATTTGCAATTATACAGTATTTGAATATTGAAATATCTGTTGTAGATAAAAATTTGCTGAAATGCATTTATGAGAAATATAATATAACATTTATGTAACCAATCGATTCTGCGAAGAGCGATAAAAGTTCTTCCGGGGCTGATTTCATCATTCAATAATAATTGGCCTTGCCGATTTTGCGTAACAAACAAAATTTATTCCGAGAATTCGACAAAGGAAATAAATGATTCATGATAATGATGGGATAAGCAAAATCCGTAAAGCTCAGATAAAATATATTACAACGTTTTTAAATTATTATCTTTAAACTTATGCAAATTAATGCCTCCTCAAGTCATTGAAATAAAAAAAAATTATTGAAAATTTATAAATTTTAAAAATAATTGAATAGAGGAAGGAAAGTGAAAGAAATTTATGTGTAGCACTACTGTTACTATTAATCATGTAAAGTAGCTAATTGAAAGCTCACTGAACTCGTTCTTGCACAATGATCAAAATTTATTATCGATTGTCACGTTTATTGTTATTCCGGTCAACGTGGGCGACAGAAACGTGTCGCACGTGAGATCCTTGCCTTGAAGCTCGCGAAAGTGAAAGGATTCATGATTTTATCTTGCAGTGGTAAATGCAATTCAGGGGTTAAAAGTGCATTACACTGTTTGAACTAGGGGTATGTAATAGACTCCATTCTTTTAAAACAATTTTTATTATTAATATCTTATAAATCACAGTTCAAATATTACAAATAATTACTAAAACAATTTATAATATAAATAGTTATATTTTAATTACCGTACATTTAATTAATTTGGCATTCTAAGACTTTAACAAAGAAAAATTGACTCTTTTGTTAATTGAAGAAATATGTAAAAATGTCTGTTCTATATAGGCTGTTAAAAAGAGAACAAAGGGAACTTAGACAAAAGAAAATTACGAATAATTGGTAACAAAACCACGAAGCTGGACTTTCTCTTTGTATAAAGTAGAAAGTTCGATTCGATTGGCGTGGTTGATCATGCTTGACAGAACGAACGTTACTTTTTGCTTTCGTTGCGCTTATAATTAGCATGTAATTAATAGAGCGAAATCAGTGGTAGTAAACTTTTTATTTTATAAAAGCAATCGATGGAAAGTTACGATTACTTAATACTCAGATTTCAAATAAGAAATATCAATTAATTTTTATAAATTACACAAAATACCTCCATGAAAAATATTTTTTTTTTTTTTTAATTTTGTATCAAAGATAATTTTGTTCAGAATTTAAATAAACAAATACAAAATGGAAAGTTACAGTTTCACCATGATAAGTATAATCATATAGGTGTTCGAAAATGAAAGCAAGTTGCATGATAAAGAAAGATCAAGTAAATGGGTCGACAAGGAACAAGAAAGAAGAAAAAGAAAAAGGGGAACCAGACAGTATAGTAGCCTGGAGCAGTGAAAGTCAGAAACCAGGTTGAACTTTGCCGAGAATGGTCACGCTGGTGATTTAACACGATTCGAAGGAAAATATGAACGGGACAAAATTATAAAAATACACTGAACGCCCACTTGAACTGTTACGTAAGAACGAGTCGACGATTCATTTTTTTATCACTATCACTTTAAACCGTATCTGGGTGACGCGAATGAATTAGTTTGCTTACTCAACAGAAAATGCTGAATATTATTAAACATATTAAAAATTGCAAGTTACTAATTAAAAAGAATTTTCTACAATTTATTCTATTATTGATGGTGGATCATGGAGAAAGTTCCAATTTTAATTTAATTTTGTATTTCATATTTTCATTTTCTAAATTTTACAGTATTCCTCTAAAAATTATTTTAGGCAAATATTTGAAATATTTTAAAATTTTAAAATTTTTTAATTAAAAATATTTTCTAGGATTTTAGGGTCGCACTAAAAATTTTAAGACACATTTCTTGAATTACCATTCTTTCAATTTTCATTTTATGTAACGTTTCTATGATGTAACTAAGGCGTCGATAAAGAATGTTAATCACATGAACATTTCTAGATAAATGCAGTACGATAGGAAAGATAGGAATCGCGATTTGTATTCATTAGAGTATATTTTATCCATCAAATGCATCAGTCCATTACATGAACCTATTTACAATTTGCATAGAATATTTTTACAAGCAATTGGCATTCGGATTTAAAAATTATTACAAGAAGAATTTAATGAAATTTTGTCTTTTTTTTGATTAAGATTGATTGTTGTATCTTGTATATTTTGTATTTTTTCTAACAAAACTTTTATTTCAGGGTGGTGTGGGCGGTGCTGTTTTTGACAACAGCAGTTTTGGCGGAGGCAGCGGTACCGGACCCACCGAATTCCGGTATCACGACCGTCGGCTCTTTGAAATTAGCAACAGCCGCTGACTGCGCTGGTGTTGTCGCTTTTTCCGCTACTCAGGCTTCTGTCGATGTGAGTTCAATTTACAAATTAATATTTAAATAAACAATTATAAAAAGCATTACTATTGTGACAATAAAATAAAAACTTAAATTAGAAAGAATTATTTGTGAACATATTAATCTTTCCAGGCTCTGCTGAGGGTTATTTAATAGAGTATAATTTTTGTTTAATGAATAATTTATTTTTAATGGTATTCAAAGTTTTCCTTATCTTCTTGTCTTTCAATTATTTGACTAAATTTTTAGCACCAACCATTAGCAACCATCAAAACAATCAAGGAGTTAATACTTTAAAATTGTAAAATTCATACTGAGTAATTAGTAAAATATTTTTCTCATTTTTTTTTCTTACAGCATGCCAAAGTAATTCTGTCTGAGACATTGGTCGACAAAGGCGTGGGATACGTCGCCCAAACAGGAACCTTCATCACCCATTGTCCAGGCCTGTACCAATTCAGTTTCGCCGGATATGGTAGCACCGATCTTCGACTTACATTGAAAAGAAAATTGAACGATTCTGATAGCTGGAGGTCGGTAGTCAGTGCTGGTCCAGGAGGTGGTGCCAATTTGGTTTTATTGAACGTCGATGCTGGGGACCAATTTGCCATTTTCGTGGACTCTGGAAAAGTTACAGACAGTGTTACATTTTCTGGCTATCGAATCGCCAAAAACTAAAGAATCACGACAATGATTATTCGTTCAGAGACCTTTGGAGCAAATCATTGAACAAAATCAATCAGAGTACAATAATAATATTGAACATTTTTGAGGCTCATTATCATCGATCAGGAATTTTGTTCAAACAGAACATTTATTTTCTCTATGTCTGATTGGTAAAACGTGTCAATTCAAATGATTACCATTGGATCAATTAGAGTTCCTGATTTGAAAAAATGATCTACCAGAGCGGTTTCAATCTTCTCCACGAACTTAATGCTCTGTGATAGCCATCTTTCTATGTTCATTTCTCTTCCATCGTTTTACAATTTCATTGATTAATGTGTTGTTAATTATTTTGAAATCAGATCACTGTGAATCATTGAAATTGTAAGACATTTTAAAATTCTTTGCGATTGGTGCTTGTCTTTTTAATTCTTCAACTGTAAATACTTCTATGGATCTATTTATCTATTCTTCTTTCTATTCTATCCTTCTTTTTCAATTTCATTCTTCATTACCTATTTCTTCCATTTTTTTGTAAAAATCTTTTCTTCTCTTTTTGTCTTTCTTTTGTAAAAATTTATTATCTTTTACTATCTTTGTTTTCTGTAAGTTTCAGATTTTTTTTTCTTCTTTCCTGTACACTTTCCTCGAATACCTATCATCAGTATTACAGTTTGAAAATTTACTCATCTTGCCATAAAGTATCACCATGAAACTGTCTTCATTTTCCTATTTCTTTCTCTATCTTTGTCAAACATCCTTCCTTCTTTGTCTCAATTACTTTTTCTATTTTATTTTCACTCCTGTCTCTGTAATTGTAGATATGTTTCTGTGTCTATTTTCATTGGTTTAATTTCTTTTCTTATCTTATTCTTCCGATTACAGACTTTCTCTGCAATTTTCTTCTTTTTTTTGCTATCTCTTTATATTTCTATTTCTTGCTATCTTCTTCTATTTGCCATTGATGCGAACGTAAACATACTGAAGTACCTGAAAATTGAAATTTATATGAATTTCTACGCGATATTTTATTCTTCTTACTTTAATTTCTGTTTTATTTGTTTTTTGTGGTGTTATGATTCTTCTACCTTGTGATCTAATTTTCTTATAATCAAAACTATTCTGACTTTCTTTTTGTTCTATTATTTTTCTTCTCTTTTTCAAGTTTCTCTATTTTCTTTCTCTTCTTCTATCTTTCTATTATTTGTGCACCGAAATTCTTTTTTATTCAACTCTTCATCTATTCTATTTCTTATTTCTTATTTCTATATACTTGTACAGCTGCACACTCTGTTTTACTGTTCTCTTTCTTTTTCTATATCTACATTTTTCATTCACTCTGTTTTAAGTTTTCTCGTTTCTTTTTACATTCAGAAATTTACTCTGTGTAATATAATTTTCTTTTCTATTCGTGTATTTAAACTTTGCTTAAAATTTTATTTCTTCTTTCAGTTCTTCTATGATTTCTTCCTTTTGCTCAAGTTTCCTGCAAATTTTCTTTCTTTTTATTTTCTATATTTTTCAGCTTTCAATTAATTTTTTCTTCTTCCTATACTTTTAATCGATTTTCTTCATTTCTGTACATTTTTCAATTTTCAATTTTATTTTTTTCTGGTAAACAAGAAACAACATCTATCTTCTATAATTTTCTCTCTGTCTCTTTTGCTCTCTTCTCTGCTATGAACAACCTTTTGCCTCAACATTGAAATTTTACCATAAATTCGTTACATATTTGTCGCTTATACGCGATGTCTCTTCTAGTCCTGTTATCTGTTTAATTATACACCTATGAAATCGAATGCTCCAATAATGCTGTGCATTGTACTCTATAAGATATCCTCTTTCTTTAAGTAATTCTTTTATTATACCAATGTCTCTCTATTTCTGTATACTTTTTTAAATCTGTATCTTTGAGACTTTCTTCAACATTCTCTCATCTCTCTTTCATTCTCTGTTTCTCGAAGTTTTTCTATTTCCAATTCTTTTCTTTCTTTCATCACTCTTTTTATTCATTTAACCCTCGAACACCTTATTTTTAAATACATAATTTCATGTATTGAAAAAGCAATGTCCAAAGGAATAATCCTCAATTCAGAAAATTAATTTTCTAAGAGTCTAAAATTAATTTTAAATTGTTCGAGGGTTAATAAACTTTAACGACTCTACAGATTTATATATATATTTTTTTACATACACTGAAAGAATTAGTCGAATGCAGCCACACTTTCAGCAATGAAAAAGAATTCGTTGTGGAATATATTTTGAGTCACTTTTGACTTGGAAACCATGTTTCCTTTCAATCTTCTCTCATTTCTAGTCTAATCTTCCCACCTGTCGAACCTACTCTATGAAAAATTCACTATGAAATTTTCTTCATGCTGTGATCCTCGAGTGCTATAAACATATTTCAATTCTACTATCATCTTTGTTCTATATTTTGTAATGGAAATATTCAGTTATTACTTTAGATCTGTCCTGTAATTTGTAACCATTGCTTGATCAATTTTAACCCTTTGCAATGTTTATTATTCTCAGAAAACTTCTGCAAGATTCTCCGAATTTTATTTTAGACGTAAAATAAATAATTAGTTTGTTCATCACGAGCTCTCTCCATGGTCCGCTGTCCGAAAGTTAAGCAGTAGTTACTTACTACATATTTTTCAACTATCTGATTATAATAAACGATCGGCTTTTGTATCTCTGTCTTTCTTTTTACACATGCTATTCTACCTTTCTATTTTATATCTATCTACTTCTCTTCTACCTTATGTCTAAATGTAAATAAAATTCAAAAGCTTCTCATAGGAAACATCATTTCTCGTTTCGCTATCACAGCAGTTACGTTGTCGAGAAGTAATCAATGAAATTCCAAAAGAAGAATATAGGTATTGATAGAGAAAAATAAAACGTTCGACCCAGTTACAAATAGTATGCCTTTCGTTTATTCAACTCATTTATTTTTGTAATATTCACGATAATAACAATCCTGTACGCATCAAGCTATTTTGCTTGAAAGAAATGAACAAAAAAAAAAACAATAACAGAGAACTTGAAAAATCTATCATACATAAATTGTAAAGAATTGTTTTATCAAAGTCCCTTTCCTGCAATCCTGAGATGAAAAATTGTATCGATGAAATGTTTTATCAAATGTTTAGTTCTACGGTTCCACCTAAGAGTTCTTTATAATTTTCGAGCACAGGGTGCACTTCCTCTTGCAAAAATTCGGTCACTTGTTCAGGTGCTCTGCCAACGAAGGTTCGTGGATCTAGAAGTTCCTTCAGTTGATTTAGAATTGGTTTGAAGTAAGGGTCTTTCCTGATTCTTTCGACTAAATCGTTGTCGAGACCGTGTTGCTTCACCTGTGCACCAGCTTCTTGGGAAAGCACTCTTATTTTCTCGTGGCAAACCTGTTGCAATGGAAATATTAACAATTTTAGAGCTTTAAAAGTTTGATAATTTGGGAACTTTGGAACTTTGAAATTTCTGAATATTAAAACTTTAGTAATTTTTAGTTTTAGAACTCTAGAAATTTGGAATTTTGAAATTTAGGCATTTTGGAACTCTGGAAGCTTGGAATTTTAGAATTTCAAAACTTTATGGAAATATTAACACTTTTAGAGCTTTAAAAGTTTGATAATTTGGGAACTTTGGAACTTAGAAATTTCTGAATATTAAAACCTTAGCAATTTTTAGTTTTAGAACTCTAGAAATTTGGAATCTTGAAATTTAGGCATTTTGGAACTCTGGAAGCTTGGAATTTTAGAATTTCAAAACTTTATGGAAATATTAACACTTTTAGAGCTTTAAAAGTTTGATAATTTGGGAACTTTGGAACTTTGAAATTTCTGAATATTAAAACCTTAGCAATTTTTAGTTTTAGAACTCTAGAAATTTGGAATTTTGAAATTTAGGCATTTTGGAATTCTGGCAGCTTGGAATTTTATAAATTTAAAACTTTAAAATTTTATAAATTTAAAAATCTTTAGAATTTAGAAATTCTGTCCTTTGTAGAACAATCCTCTACCTATTCTCAAACACACTTAACAACTAATAACAATAAATTGTACCTGTCTGTCACCTCCAGCTTTCACCATAGCCATTATTATATTTTCCGCGGTCATGAAAGGTAACTCTTGAGCCACATGTCTGGCAATGACCTTAGGATACACAACAAGGCCCTCGGTGATATTCTGAAGTGTCATTAGTATAACATCAGCTGATAAGAATGCTTCTGACAAGGTGATTCTTCTGTTCGCTGAGTCGTCCAGAGTTCTTTCCATCCACTGAGTTGCAGCGGTTTGCAATGCATTATTAGCCAATGTCATTAAGTGTCTTGCTATACTGCAACATCTTTCTGAACGCATCGGATTCCTTTTATATGGCATTGCACTCGATCCAATTTGAGTGCTTTCAAATGGTTCCTCTATCTCTTTCATGTTAGCTAGAAGTCTTATGTCGCTGCATATCTGAAAGAAGAAATTGATTATAGAAAAACTGTAATAAATAATTAAGTAAAATCTAAGGATGTTAAATGATTCAAGGTTTTATAATTTTATAATTCAAGTATGCTTTGATAATTCTAGCAAATATTTAACAATTTCCATTGTATCTTCTTTGAAAACTGTAATTATAGTATTGAGATTTTATTTATTAGGAAAATTTATAGCAGGAACTATGTAATTATATTTATTTACTTTATGAACAGTAGAGCCCAAGGAACTTAGAGCATTTAAACATTCTACATCGACTTTCCTACTGTAAGTTTGTCCAGTTACAGGATAGTACTTCTCAAAACCAGCCATTCTGGTTACCAAACGGTCTAATTGTTTCACTTTAAATCCATCACCTAGAAAAATGTATAATTAAAATAAATCAGAATATTTCTGTTTACATAGAACGTTAGGATTCTGAATATTAATAAAATAATAATTACCATTAAATAATTGAAGGAAAGAAGCTTGAGTGCCAGTGGTACCCTTCACTCCTCGAAATTTTAGATCATCCCGAGCACGACGAATTGCTCTTTCGTCCATTAAGAGATCATGCAACCAAAGTGTGGCTCGTTTTCCAACGGTGGTTAATTGAGCTGGTTGAAGATGGGTGAATCCTAGAGTTGGTAAATCACGATACTCCATGGCAAATTTTGCGAGACGTGACAATACGTTCGCCAATTTTGGTAACAGTATGTTGAAACCTTGTCGAAGGATAATCAGATCCTTCAAAAATAAAAATTATCGTTAGAGTTTCATATTATGGAATAGTAAAAAGAAATTAAATTGAAGAAATTACCGTGTTATCACCAACATAGCAACTGGTAGCACCTAGGTGGATTATGGGAGCAGCTTTTGGGCATTGATTCCCAAAAACGTGAACATGGGCCATTACATCGTGCCTCGTTGCCTTTTCTTCTTTTGCAGCAGCCTCGAAATCAATATTATTAACCTGAGCCTCCATTTCAGCGATCTGTTCTGAACTGATGGCCAATCCAAGCTCCTGGAATAATAAAAAATAGTAATTAGGCAGGAACTAATTAGGCAGAGGCTAGGATGGGCTTGTTACCATTTTAAAATTCTAAAATTCTTGAGTTCTAGAGTTCTAAAATTTCAAAATTCCAAAAATGTTAATATTTTTCAATTCTGAGATCCTAAGTTTGCAATCAACCAATAAAAATCTGTCATTTTTATCAAAATATAAAAATGTGATGGTTTTTCAGAAACAAAACAATAATTCAAAATTTGCATTTTTGGAGCCTTCGAAATTCATAGTAAATGTGTTCCATTTTACAGGTAGGTAATTAATATGTAAAGTAATATTTTTTCAGTGATATTAAACAAAGTGTACATATGAATCATGCAGAATCTGGCATTAGAAAACGGAATAACAATGATCGTTATATTTCGATGGGATCGAACAACATTATCGTTAGTGATAATAGAGTATGAATGTGTAGGTGCCTTTCTACACGCCTTATCCCTGTTTCGGCGTACGCTGTATCATCTGATTAGATAAAGAGGGCTTGGTAGTGGGTCGAAAACATCTAACTCGACGTGAAACTCATTTCGCTGTTTCACCTGTTTTCATCGTGAAGGGGTTCGCGTTCAGACAAATTAATCATGGTGTCTCTGGAAACTGTTGCGAGTATAGTGATAAAAATTTTGAAACTGGTGAGGAGATATATTTTTCATTGGTAGTTTGTGAATATACAGTCAAAATCAAAATTGTGTGCATAAAAGAATGTTGAGTGACTAATGTGACAAAATGAATGGCGCGGAAAATATCCAAAAATTTATTCATTTTGTAATATTTTACAAAATTACTTTTTAAGAAAAGTGGTGCTTTTAGTTTTTAAAAATTATGGTTTTATTAATTTCCTCGCATATATATAGAAGTTTCTCTAAATTAACGTTACATTTCAGAAAATTATTGAACTTTGTTAATCGTTGATAATATATTTTCTGAAAAGAATTACTTATATTTAAAAATACTTTTTCTGAGATTATCTTATAATGATACTATGGATTAACAGCCTTGATTTAGTCATATACAAAGACAGCCATGTTGTTTATACAAAAGTACAATAATTTTACAAAAATTTTATTACATTTGAATTGTGAGGTAAATTGAACCAATAATGTCGGATCTATCAATTAGTGTAATCCCTTAAATTGATATATCGTCACTATTAGACTCATTCAAGAAACATTTATACATGCTCTATGATTCATTTTGTTCTTTATCGTCGAACGATAAGAAACCCTGTTTGCAATACGATATGACGCCCTTTTTATGTATCATGGCGTGATACAATTATACTACTTTTCACTAGAATTGATTCCTTCTTTAATTTATAAAAAATTAAAAGTCATCAAAATAATAACAAATTGTTTACCGAATTAATGTTGGAATTATGGAATAATTTTTTTTTTCAACAATTATTTGTACTAATGGTGGGTTTCATTTTTCAGGTCATTAATCTCATAATCCTGATCCTGTATCGAACTGGATATAAGGATGGAGAGTTTCTGGGTGTTGGAGGAACGTGGAACTTAAATGAAGATAAAAATCCGGATGCAGAAATTGTTGCATCCGGAGTTCTTGTGGGTTTCTTCATATACACCAGTGTTGTTCTCATCACCTACTGTTTTGGAAGCACAAATCACAAGAAGACCCTTGTTGTAAGACCAAATTTGAAATTCTATATTGAAAATTAATTTAAAAATTAATTAATTTTTATTGGAAATTAATTTTGAAAAATGAATTAAATACCGAAAAACTGCATACATTGTTTACATCGAATTTAAAGCTGCAAATTTCAAGTAGTGTAAAACAGTACTGTTTATTTATTTTCTTTAATATTGTTTTTGTTTTTAGGAAATTCTAATGAACTTTGTTGGAACCTTCATGTTCGTTGCTGTGGGTGGCACAGCACTTCATTATTGGAACGGTTATCAATCAGAAAATAAATTTGATACGATTGTTCAAGAACGACAGGTAATTACTGACTTAAAAATTTATGAACTTGATAAAATTTATGAAGACTAACTGGAACGTTCCATTTTTTAACCCTTTATATTTTTAGGTGGGTTTAGCAGTTGGATCACTATGCGTTATCGAAGGTTCCGCCTATTTAGTGGATTTAATACTAAGTTTGCTACATTTTGCAAAAAATCGCGATGAATTATTCGAATGAATTCAAATTTCTCTCTGTGTGCGATAGGTAAAGCTGTTACCTTGCATTTATATCGCAAGGAGTTAGTAATCAGAATCTTCGTTACTTTAAATGTTTAACATTCATCATGTACCTTTCTGCAGGAAATATTGTATTATTCAAGACGTTCATTTTTAATGAAAAATTCACAAATATAGTAGATCGACGTGTTAATCATACACATTCAATTCAATATTTTCTACTTGAATTATTGATAAAGTATATTACTAAATGTAGGACGTATTATTTAATTTTTATATTTTTATTACATCAACGTACATAAACAATAATAATACATAAATAAAATTAAAAAATTAATTATTCCTTTTATGTTTGTTAACATAATTAATCTATCAAGCTCGAAATTAATGAAAGGATACAAATTTGAAGAGGACAATAATTTAGAAAATTCAAATTAAATCGATTTTAATCGATATTTATCGATATTTAAGAGATTAAAATTCAGTTTAATTAACATGTTAAAAGAAATACAACGACTTTTTAAAGACTTCAGTTTTCTCTTGAAAGCATTCGAACTGGTAAAAAGAATTAATTTTCTTCTAATGATTGTGAATATTTGTAAAATCTGATAATTGCTTCTAATTTAGCTTTTGGCGTGTATTTGTCTGTACGAATTGTCCAAATACAGTGAATACATGATTCCAAAATGGTTATGGATTATTTATTGCATCGATTCGTTCACATATGCTATAGTATATTTCTCTATTGCAATGACACATGTGTTTGAGAAACCACGAAAAGTATCAGTTAGTTACATCAGATCTTTTCTATTTAAACAGATGAATATTTCAATCCTTTTTATTGAATTTTATTTATAGGAATTTACATATTTTTCACTGGGAGTGATTTTCAATTTCATAGGCGGAGTAGCAGGAATTGAAAGAGGACGAAGTGGAGATTCGGAAAATAATGAACATCGAAATGAGTTGAAAATTGGATTACTTTTACTAGGTGCATAATTAATTACCACGAGAAAGAAATTAATTATTTTTACAATGAAATGTAAAAATTATTTTTCAATACTTATGGTACATTTTTTATTATTTTCAGCTAACTTTTTTGTATTATTTTTCGAAACTGCATATATGGTTTACATGGAATATAAAAGAAAAGGAAAATTAATTCCTAGACGTGCTAATGTTCGAACAACGAATAGATAATGTTCTATATTAATTACTTTACATTTTTATAACTTTTGAAAGTCATTTTCAAAAAATAAAGATTCATAAGGATCAATGAAATACCATCAACGATATGAATTTATCATTTAATCGATTCTTTGAATATTAAAACTTTTGTCAAAAAATCAAACAAAATATCGTCTACATTTAGGAAGTCAACAATTTATTCTAATTCTAAATAGAATATTTCTCAAAGAAATGGGTAACATACCGATTCCTTTTAACAATTCAAGGTTGAATTCATGGGCAATTGACAAGAAATTATTAATATGGAAAACAGTATCTATGGTTTGTTTTACTGAACATTTGCTTAAAATTTTATTAAGGTTATTAACATTAAAAAATAGAATTGATTTTTTTTAGTCTGCCTGTATAATTGGCAGTGTAATATACTTAGGCCCGTTGGAACCATACATCGAAGTTCCAATTTTTGGAATTTTGGTACCCACTTTTATGATTGGGTACATTATTATACATTCATCAGATATTTTCCTTTTGATCATGGGAGAGGATTATGTCTTTCTCGTGAGTAAGTGAAAAATAAAATACAATTTAAATGACAATTTAAATTTATTATCAAGGAAACATGCTTTTATGTGATTGGTGCACTTGGAAACCTAACTTGTGGTATTTATCAATTATGCAAATGGATAAATTGGATACTTGAAACTTCTCAGGATTCTGATTCGGATTATGAGTATGTTTGTCAATAAACATAATAATTTTCTAATAGTAATTGTTGAAATTGTCTATTTGAAAAATTTTTTTCAGTGTCCCAGAAGTAATGCTAGCACTTGTCTTATTTCTTCATTTCACTTCTCTAACTGCTGTGATGATTCACCGTTTCCTTTTTTGGCGTCAGTTTATGATCACAGAGGCTGAATGCTCCATTTAAAATAAATTTTAAATTAAATTTAGAAGGACGAAGAATTTATACCTTATAATAATTGAAAGAATAATATAATTGAAATAAAAGAATTTTAACTTATGGGGTCATCTTATAACAAGACGACAGACTCCCATAAAGGGTCACAACAGCAGCCACGATATGCATCAATTAATCTACTTGACCCCATAATCATCTTGAATGACCGGCATAATCGCACACCCACGATCCGGATATATAATCCCGTTAATTACGTATACTGTCAGTAATTTAACCCTTTTAGACCTAATTTGTACAATAAGAGTAACATTTAGAAAATAAGAGAAATCATGCTAATTGTAAAATCTACAAAGTGTACCTGCCATGATAATCTTATTAACTGTACAGTTACGTTCAAGAGTTTATCTTTATGATATGAAAATTAATATTATTTCAAATTTTTCATTTATAAAATTATATAATTGTCAAAATATTAATAATGAAATTTTGAAAAATGAAAATTTTTCCATATTAATTATAATAAAGAAGTTAATACAATTCCTTATAATCACTATTTCCATATAAAAATCAAAATAAAATTATGAAAAAATTGATTTCATAAAAAATACTGTTGTCAAAGTGTTAATAACAACGTCTCCGAAACCGGAAACCATCGCATGTGATTCAAGATCGACAGGAAGATCGCACAATGATTATAAACGAAGACCAAGCCGCACCTACTGACCTAGTGAACACGTGATCTTCCATAGGTATACTTGTATGCTGATTATGCACACCTGTACGAATGACTGTACCTGATACATACACGTAGCCCAGAGAATAGTTTTTCTGTAACAGGAGTAGCAATGCGTTAAGTCTATTACGTAATTAGAAAATAATCTGATGCTGGTAGGAGTTATTTAGATTGTTCGCAATCCTATAACATCAACTTTTTTAAAATTTAATTCTTGTCTTTCCAATTTTTTTTATTTATCTCACATTTTCCATTTATTACAAATTTTAATGATGCAAGTTTGCATCAAAATTAGTTTTCTTTCTCGATGAAGTTACATAGGGCAGAAATGATAAGTTTTTATTAGAAATTCATGGTCGATATTGGATATAAGAAAATAATATAGGATTGCACGTTGCACTCGTTCTATATTTTCCGCATGTAAACTTATTTCTGTTAATATTTATGCAACTGCGCTTTTACCGTGTCAGGGCCGAAACATTATAACTTTCTAGTTTAGATACTCTGTGTCGATCATCGCGCACTGAACTTACGAGCTTTACTTACATAGTAATTTTGTAATTAACGTACCCTCATTTCAATCTTCTATCCTTTATATCGACACCTGATATGAACAACGTTATAAAACGTATTAAAAATAAAATAATCCTTTTTTTGTCTAGGAACCATGCTTTTATTACAATTAGAAAATATTGTAAATCTAAATTTTCTGATTTTTGATTTTAAAAATATTATATTTTGAGTTACAGAAAATATTTAAAAGTACCATTTAAAAGTACTAAAAAAAAGGTATATTTAAATTCTTGTTACACTAACAGAGACAAACAGCAGATATTAAAAGTAGGGTGAAAAAAATATAAATCATTTTCCTGTAAACCTAGCAGGTATCGATATATTGACATTTCAATAACGGGTCAAATTGGCCCTGCACCCATCTGCCATCAATAAGTATTCAAACATAATTTAAACGTTCCATTCAGAAGCAAAATATGTACATAATTTTCCCACCCTCTTTCTTCGAATTCCAAAGTACTCAAAGAATGGTATGAGTCAGCGTGGATTCATGAATAAGCTTCGATCGTGGCGGAGGTTTATTCAAGAAAAACGTAAGTACATATGAAATTGGATACGTCGCAAATGGAGGAAAACGAAACGATACAAGGAATGATTTTGCAATGTTACACGAGGGGCTGGAATCCTGCTGGGCCCTACGTGCTCTCGAAGGTTTTGCACGTGCACGCATCCGCCAATGGGTACGTGCAAATTACACACCGTGTGAGTCACGTGAAGTCGAACACGGTCCGATGCGTGCTTTCGTGACCCACCACCCACAGCACGTGCTCGCGAATTAAATGCCGCAGTTACCTCGCCCTTCGTGGCTAGCCTCTAATTACATACGTGTCCTTTCGAAATCGTAACTCGTCCACTTCCGGCATTCGATCGATCGTTTGTTCAATTCTTGCATTGAGATTGCGAAAAGTTGAACCCTTGAACAGGGGAGCCTGAGTTTTACAAAACTTACGAATATTTTAATATTAAATTAAATTTAAATGTATCATTTTAAAACGAGAGCTTCATATATTGGAGAAATAATTTTTTAAAGGAACAGTGTTAAATTTAAAAAATGAAAATAATAAGGAATTATGGCTCTCTACGTGATACACCATTCAAGGGTTAATCTTTGAATATTGAAATTTTATATAATGGTATTTAGACCAAAATTAGGCATTTAATTAAATAATAATTGTAAGGTGTGTTTTTGAAATTTTAATTTATGTCTATTGTTACATTTAATAATGGTATGATGCACGTTTTCTCAGTATCGTTCCCCATTGATACAATAATGATCTGGGACAATCACTGGAAAAACATACTTAATTGTTAGCAGGTACAGTTTGTGTCAGAGACACTCTGTTTTATTAAACATTCCATACGAGACATGACAAATATGCCAACTATAATATCAGAATACAAAGAACCACCTGAGATATCATTTTTAAATGAGTTGAAAAAGGAGCTTAGTAACAACAATAACATTCTTCAATTTATAATAATATATAGAAAATTATTATGGAAGTAGCTTTTAGTTTCAAACTTACAAATAACCAAATTAAAACAAAATAAAATTTTTCAAAAATGCATTCACTCTAAGTCCAATGAAGGCTTTAATTAATTAGATAATTAGCTAATTGTCAAAAGTCCAATTTTACCGAATTTCAAATCAATTGCCTGTTTGGAAATACAGTCAAATTCTATTGAAATTTATTTTTACATAAAATTATGGATTCATCATTCAGGTTTCATTCATCAACTCTTCATTCAAGATCCCTGCAGTGATTATGTAATCCGTATCGGCTGGAAAGTGAAATGAAGAAAAATCGTGGGTAATTAATTAAATAAGCAAGAAAGTAGATGACGTGTCATTAGGACCAATAACGAGCATCTGACGGAAGAAAATGACTGCGGCACAACCATGTGGTGAACCTGACTAACAAAAGTCGGCAAACTTGCCTGCGCAACTTGCACGTTACGTACGACGTAGCCTCTCAGTGTGTCACGCTTGGCGTTCCAGTTTAACTTGTTCCACGGCACGGTGTGGAACTCTATGCTGATTTTCTGACAATCAGTACGATTTGACTATTTGTTTCATTAATTGAAATTAATCTTGATTGATTGGATCGTTTGAAATTTCTTAGGGCAACTTTTAGTGAAATTGCAGTGGTTGTGGAGGGAAGAAGAAAAGTGTAGATTGGTGAATTTGTGAAGGAAACACTTAGAGGGTGGTTTGTGAAGTTTTAAAACAGGGTGAGTATTAGTGTTAACTTTTAATTATTTATTTGAAAGGAATATTATCAAATTAGTATTTTAATGGATAGAGATGAATTTTCATAAATATTTAGAACTTTTTGAAAATTCAGAGTCTACTGTAGATGAATGAAAATTAGACGTGCGAGTCCATAGGGGACTTTATAAATCTAAGAAATTTGGACAGCTTTCATATGAATAATTTTAATTCTTTTGTAAATTTAAAATAAGTTGAAAGATAATAACTTTTCGAAAAGATTGAATTATTTATTAGTTTTTGAACAAGAAGAATATGTTTTTAAAAACTGGTTACAGAGTGTGTACTTTGTTATTGAATCACGTTTACAATGGTTGTGTAATGATGTAGTATGACTCGAGGATTCTTTCAGTAAGTATCAATCTACGCGCTATGTGAATAGAAATGAATAATTTACTACGATTAATTCAAAATTTAATTCATGAAAATATAAATTTCTGTTCTGATTATTTTTAAACAAAGTTGACCGCTTTACTGATTGACAGTCTATTAATAGACTTTAGAATGTTAACAATTGTTACTATTATCCGTTGCTATTAGGGTCGATGTGCTTGATGAGTGGAGATTAACATCAGGGAGTGGAAAGAATTGATCGCGGACGTAAGGTATAGGTAAAGTCTTTCAAGCTGGGTGACAGAAGAGGAAAGCATCGCAGGGTCAGAATGGCAGACGAAAATCAGCAGGAGCAGCGTGTATCAGAGGAGCGCAGGATAATCAGGCTAATACCTTTTATAATGAAAATTATTGAAGTGGTAAGTGATAAATTAAAAATTTTACTTAGTAAAAAGTTTTTAGAATTTACTCCTTTTCAATCATTTTTATTAAAATTTGTAATTGATATTTATCATTTCTAATGAAAATTCTCAGAATGGTAAATTATTGCTTTAGCTTTCATTTATTTATTTCATTTATAATTAATTGGTTGTTAGCATTTACTTTTATTGTAACGTTCCTACGTTTGATATTTACTATTTCTCAAATTTCATTCACTGTACGATGTCTGACGATACAATCACTGGTAATTATTATATTTGATATTTTCATTATTTATTATAGAATTTATATTTAACAGGTACTGGCTGTGCTCGCGATAGGATTGATAGTGGACCCACTGAACTCGTTCCAAAAAATCCTAATTAAGTCTCAATTCAAATTAGACGATGCTGCGATAATTTATATTACAATTGCTGGTTTCCTTATAATTAATACACTTTTCATTATCTGCCATTTGCTTGGTGATAGGATACCAAAGAGAACGGTAAGTCCCTAATTAAATATATTTCTATAATTTCAAATCCTTAAAATTGAAAAAAGAAACAGCATATAATTAAAATAATTTAAGAACTAGTCACCTATATATTACACCAAAGAGATTAGTACAACACATTTAGAATAGAAAAAAATTTTAATCAGCTTGATAGAAAAAATGTTACATAAAATTTATAGAATCATTTTTTTTTTCTAACAAAGAATTCTTGACGAGTTTTCTCGATCGGAGTATCCGGATTACGTGACACGATCCGTGATAATAAATTGATAAAATAACGCAATCAAAGGATCGCGTGACGATCACAAAGGGTTAGAGATAGCTATAGGGTCAGATTTATTTCCTACATTCGGTACTTTCGACATAGTTTCACCGGCGACTTGAAATTTCCGATGTTTCTCTGCCGTCTGTGGAAGCACCTAGCCCATTTGCACAGCTGAGTCGTCGTAGAAACCGTAAGTCTGATAATTAACAGATGCGTCATGTCCTTCGTACGTGCACTGATACAATCGTAATTCTTGTCTACGTGTACAATCGTGCACTTGTATTGGAATAACTTAACAGTTATTCATAATAGGACCCGTTCATGGAGAAGGAAATCTTTCGTTCTAAAAGCCAAACTTGGAAGCATTCATTTAAAAATTAATTTTAATTAAAATCCAAATTTAATTTCTAGATCGTGAATTCAATTTCTAATCTAACATTACATAATACAAGTATTACAAAAAGTACGAAGTCCAATGTTTGCGGTTATTCCAAAGGTGCAATAAGCATGCAAGGCTACTCAATGAAGGTTTTACTTGTTTTCTATAGTTCCTAAGTGGCATTGAGAATTGTTAATGACCAAATAACTGTATCGATCTAATATTAAATCCAATCTGAGAATTATAATATCACATTGCATTTGAGACGTTAAAAATAAATTTCAATTACAAAACTAATTCCCTTTTAATAGTTTATGATTATTTTTAAACGATGCAGTTTAGAAAATTTATTTCAATGGATTTAAATGTTAATATACTGATTCATATTAAAATTTCTTTAAGTATTATAACATAATTTATATTTTTCACTATCTTCTAAGTACCTATGCTAATTACAACGTGTTCCGTTCTACTTTGATTAAAATTCATAAATTATCAATAACCGACTTCTCGTATGTCAGTTTATCAACATTTTGCTCGACGTTTATGTTCGTTTAATGGCTAGAGCACGTAGTAACAGGGGGACTAGTTACTTCGGAAAAAGCGATAATTATTGTCGCCTATGTGTCTCACCGTCGTGATAACACATAGTATAATTATGGTCTTCGAGGCGAATGTACACGACTTCGTGGCCTTCTTTGCAATGAATATTAAAAATTATCATTTTATTACATTTTTAACAATTTGATGGTAGAAATTGTAAATTTTAATTTCCAATTTAATAATTTTTCCCAAGGTAGAAAATTTCTGTTTATTTCTATATAAATTTAACAAAATTATTCTGTTTTATAAATATTCCAATTTTTCTATAATAATGATTTCCTTTCATGGATATTGAAATTTTCCCACGAGTATTCGAATGTCATTCTTAAAAAGGAAATATTTCTTCATACTATGATTCATTGCCATATGTAGTAGTTTGAAACGAAACTAGATCATTGATCTCGATGCATTACAAGCAACATCGATCTGGTCTGATTGCAGCTGATATTATTCTCCTCGGTGGGTGCGCTTCTACATATCGTCGCTGGAGGAGTAATTGTCTATGATTGGAAGAAAACTATGCGCCCTTATTACAGCAACAACGAGCTCTATCCGAGCAAACAGTACATGGACATGTTTATATCCGGGGCTGTATTCACATTCCTGAACGCTTTGGTTTTCATCATTGAAGTCGTCTTCATCATCAGAAACTCAACGAAGACCGTGGGATAAAGAACAATTATTGATTCTCCAAAGTTAGAAGATATTAAGTAATTTGCGAAAACATTTATGTTAACCCATTGGGTGTTTAATTTACGGAGATATGAAAGAAATTTGTCATATTATGTATAATAAGTACTAGTAATATACAGTAGACTCTCGTTATGAACAAGGATATTAATTTAAACTTAGGTGCATAATTTTGAAATGAAAGAATTTCATTACACCCTTATAATCTACAAATATGATACACTTCTGTCTCTCCTTTGAAAGCTTGAAAGCCTGATAAATTTTTCACTTCTGTAGCTCCTTCCATGGCAATATAACGAGAGTTCACTGTACCATTTTTCTTATTTTAGTAACCACTGAAAGGGTTAAAAATATTTTAGAAATATATAGACTGTGAAAATATAGAAAATATTAGAAATGGTATAATTGGAATAAGAAACACAAGTTAATTATTTCTGGGAACAATATTTTATATTTTGAGAAATAGGAATATAAGATTTTTGAATATAATGTCCACCATATGTGTTCTAGAATTTTGAAAAATAATTAGATGTAGTGTAAAATGAAATACAGCCCAAAGTTATTATATAGAAGTGATTAGTTTGTATAATTGAAAGTTATATGTTGTAACGTTAATTCTAAGCCCCGATTCCGTCCAGTTATTGTTTTTTATTAAATAAGAATAATATATAATAAGTAATTTTAAAAGATAAAATTGAATAGTAGACTTAGTTTTATTATAATTGTTATAGAGTATGTAAAAATTTTTAAATTATCTTCGTGTTTTAATATGTAGCTAGAAATTTAGTAATTAAGAATTCTGTTAAAACTAATTCCCAAAGATAGTCAATGTAATAACGTGAATTTCCACCGAAAATATAAACTTTTAATAATATTATTTTACTATTAAAAGCGTATTAGTGTAGCATTAATTACAGTAGAATTTATTATTGATTATTTCGTAATTTTATATATACTTTACAATTATATGCAGTGCAAACTTCAATCTCAGAATTGCCATGAATATTTTTAGATTATACTTTCTCGTAGTATCTATTAATTATAATTTCGATTATTATTATCATTCTTACGTTAAATGTAAAAATGAAAAATTAAAATGTGTCTTTATCAAAATAAATTCCGTCCAATTTTATATTAGAATAACAGCAACATACATTAATCAAAGTATTGTAATAAAGAAATTATTCAATTGTGTTATTTTGTAAGAATAATATACAATTATTAATAAATTATATGTATACAAATCTAAGGGTGTTATTAAGATAGAATAACAGATGGATAATATTTGGAGTAACTAATGTAACAAATATATCATTCTTTTCAATATAACATCTTTATTCGATTAATTTAATTACACTAATTATTATAAATTACATTTTTACACACTTAACATACTAAAACATTTATTATAATAATTCTTATTTTTGTTGCTTAACTAATACAATATTACGCTGAACATTAATAATAATATAATAATAGTTCTTGTAAAGATAGCTAGCTGTGGCATCGTTATCAACCGTTCGACCTAGAGCGAAGTGAAGCACCATCAGTCTTATAGCGACCGCCGAGGGGTACAGATCTACCTGCTAAACATACACATACCCTTATTTTACTTTCTGCATTCATTTAATTTGCTGTATTTATCTTCTTAACTTATTGAATAAACTCATTAGAAGAAAGAACGTGTTGATTTTATTACTCCTGTGTGCATCCTTTATATCACTAATTCCCTTATATCTCTGCACTTCTTACATTCCTGCTTTACTTACATCGCTGCATCCTTCACATTCCTGCTTTCTTTGTATCCCTACATCCTTTACATCTCTGCTACCCTTACACCCCAGCATTCCTTACATCCCAGCATCCGTTAGATCCCTACTTTCTTTATATCTCTACATCCCTTACATTCGACGTCGAATCAGCGCCCTCTGGTGGCAAAAAAGGAACTAAATCGTGCTAAACTTTTGGCCCTCTGGCGGGAAAAATGTGAACTAAATTTTCGGTGTCGAATCAGCGCCATCTGGTGGCAGAAAAAGGAACTAAATCATGCTAAAATTTTGGCCCTCTGGCGGGAAAAATGCGAACTAAATTTTCGATGTCGAATCAGCGCCCTCTGGTGGCAGAAAAAGGAACTAAATCGTGCTAAACTTTTGGCCCTCTGGCGGGAAAAATGTGAACTAAATTTTCGGTGTCGAATCAGCGCCATCTGGTGGCAGAAAAAGGAACTAATTTTGCACAAAAATTTGAACTAAAACTTTTTAAAAAAAGGTATCAGGAATAAGATACAGAGGTGTAGGAGTTGCAGGGGTATAAGAGATACAGAGATGTAAGGGATGAACAGATATAAAGCATCCAGGGATGTAAGGGATGAAGAAATGTAAATATTGCAGAGATGTAAAAGATGCAAGGATGTAAGGGATGCAGATGCAGGAGGCCGGGGCTGGGGCTCTGCTCTTCACTGCACGCGGCCCGAGGAATGCCGGCATCGGGTGTGGCCCCCGATGTCGGCGGAGTTTGGCACATGGGGGAAGGTCATAGGTTAGACCCAGTGCAGGCCACCGTGGTGGTTTTAGTGGGTAAAAATGCCACACTACCTCCGGCCCCTCCCCAGGGGGGCTGGAGGTGTCTTTCTGAAGATTTCCACCACGTTAAAAAAAAAAAAAAAAAAAAAATGGATGCAGAAATGTAACGAATCCGGAGGAATAAGGAATGGAGCGATATAAGAGATGCAGGAATATACGGGATGCAGAAATATAAAAAAATGTGTTTCTGGTAAGTAATTATGTTTGTAATATTGTGATTTGCAAAAATCATTATTTAATTAAAAAATAATAGGAATCTAATACTAGGCTTTTATTTTAAAATTAATTATTTTATTACAAAATGATTCTATAATTCTATAAGCTACTATAATTTATAACAACACAAAATGAAGTTTGAATAACTTTCTACATAAATAATATGTGAAAGAAAGTTAATCAATCAATCGATAATTAATATATCGAAGTAACATACCAATAAACAAAAAACTAGGTGACACATTGTCCATAAACTTTTAGAGGTTCTTTCGATGATACGAAAAAGGTGAAACGATTCCTCCTTAAAAGCATGTAATCATGCACTACCAAGGTTAACTTATTCAGCAAATATCTTCTATCCTCATCTTGATCCTCTTGCGTACGTTGACGAAAAGAGTATAACAAATTTTCACATCTTCAGATAAGAATCATCCGTTACAAAGTGAACGTTCCGTAAAGTTGCAAAAGTTGACTGGAGGCCACTCAGAATTAAGGAAGATCCAGAAACTAATTAAACCATTTATTAGACCACTTAGGATACTTCAATTCGTATGTATTGGACAATTGACATGTACCTGCACACACAATAACACTAATATTAAAAATTGTATGTTTAAACAATTAGCTAGTGGTACTACTGATATTCGCGCTTGTAACTTACACGATAGCGTTGAGTCCTGAAAATGTATCATCTGTAACATGTATTTTACTTATTGTTCTTTCTGGAGCCTACGTGTTTATCTTGGCAATTGATATTATCAGTCAACTTAGTGGAGGAGAATTGCAATCAATTCCGGTAATTATTTTTTATAGAAATTTCCTTTAACCCTTGAATTTTTAGTTTGCTGGTGCTACTCTTCCACCATCATGCCCTACGAAAATAATAATTCTCCCCAAGTCAAAGTTTTAAACTTTGAAAAATTTTTTTCCACTGCAATATAATGATTAAAAAATCTTGTAAAATAATTGTTGCAGAGTGATGTGACTGTGAAGAGTAAAATTAGTCACAAAAAATTCAACTTTAAATTTCTTTTTCAATCTTATTTTCTAAATTGCAAAGTATGTATTTCTTTAAATATTATTTAATATGGAAATTTTTTATTTTAAAATTTCACTGCTTAATATTAATAAAAATATCATTTTATAAATTTTCGAGGGTTAAATAGAAATCTATAGAGTATAGGTGTTGTTTATTAAAAATTTTTTAAATTTTAAATCTTTATTGCAGATGTTCTTCTTCTCCTTTGTTGGTATGATACTCTTTGGAGTTACTGGAATTTTATTGTTACCAGTTTATACTGCCAGTGCACTTTGGACCATATTAACAGTGTTGTGTCTCTCTCTTATCATGTCCGTCCTCTTCATACTCGACGTCGTCACTGCACTCGTGTAAGTTTCAAACAAACTTTAATCAATCACGAATTTTATGTCACTGAAATTCTATGTCAGATTTTGGAAACGAAACTGCGATGTTTGTAACGATCCATATTGCACTAATCAAGCCCAGATATTGTATCAAAAAAAAGACCTTTGCCATCCCGCGTGCACCGAAGTGAGTTTAATATTCAACATTGAAAAATAAAGTATAAAATGTTAACAAAGAGTTCTTGTTAACTTTAGGAATGTAAATATTTTTTTAAAAGAAATTTTTTGGAAAGTTTTAACGTATAATGTATTTCTTACATAATAAAACATAGTTTCATTAAGAACAAAAAATATTTGGTCAATCGAAATATAATCTTTTATAATATAAGAAATGCATTATATAATATTTCCTACTTTTTAAGGAAAAGGGTTAATCATTATCCAAACTCTATATCCCAAATTTTATTTAGTGATATATAGTTCAATCCTCCAATATAAAAATCGCGTTTCATTTCATTTTCAAATATAAAATAAATCAAAGTATAGTAGAATTTGATCAATAAAAAAGGAACCAAGTAATTTGACATAATTATTACTCACATTTTGAATCGGTTGATCTTAATGATCATAATGTGAGAGTAATGTTAATAACAACTAGTTCGAAGTAATCTATGTTCCTGGAGTACAAACGTTTCTTTTAAGGTGTCTCTCTGCAATCTAGACGGTCAAGTTCGACTTGATGACCAGTGTAAGCAGCATCAAAATACCATCTGGAGATGAGGAAGCAGTTTGTGATCATAGTTATAGAAAAGTTGGATATGGACGTCGAAGACAGTACGTGGATCGTCCAGCTAGTGCTCGATCAGCGGCCATGGTCGAGGTTGCTGATATTCAAACGGAACCGCGTTCCATGTGTAATAGACAGAGTCAGGTGAGTGATAAGTGAGAAAAATGTATGCAAAATTAATATCAAATGATTGCAATATTTTTTGCAATATAACTATTTTAATAAATTTAACAGACCCATCGAGAAATAAAAGAAATGCCAGTGCAAACTGTGAGTAAATGTGAACTGTGCAATCGTCAAATACCGATTTTCTCAACGTCCACGGATCCGATGCATCAAGCAATGCAACAGGCACCTTGCACAACCTGCCCTGCAATTATGCAGCTGATGCGAGGTGCACCGTGTTGCCCAGGGTTCGTATTGAAAAATATTCTTTACAGAAATAATAAAATATTTATTTATTTTATTATTTAATAAAACATTAATTTTATTATTAACTCTACTGGTGATAAATAGATGCAGATGCGTGACAGGAATAATTCAAGTGTCACAACAGACTCAACAACAGCAAACACCACGACAAGAAAAATCCACCGAGCAGAATCCAGTTAAAGAAACGAAGCACTGGCAACAACCGGTGGACGAGAAATCCTACGAAATTGTGACGAGTGAGCAACCTCGAACCCCTCAGGTTGCGAGTACAAGCGTTAAATAGAAAACAAACATGCGATCTCCATTAAAATAGGAAAAAAAAAAACAGTGCAAAACGTGTCCCACTTATTGCATTTATCTAAAGATTACAATGAGTCATCAAATCTTATAAAACACTCGTCAATGAGATAAATATACGATTGGAGTATTGAAAATGAAAATGATTATTTCTTCAATGGATCGGAATTATATTTATTTATAGGATTTTCAATCTGCGTATTTTTTATTTTAAAGCTGACCAGGAGGATCCAAACGTGAAAGGAAAATCGGGAACCATCACTAAACTTACTCTTGCATCCTATTCTGTTTCATCGAACCAAACCACTGACAATTCCTCTCAAACTGCTACAGGGAAAGGTGTAAAAAATTTGTAAGTAGAAGAAACGAAAGAAATCTGTCGTTTCTACTTATCCAACTTTCATAAATGGAAAATGTCTAATTGAATAACAATTTTATTAAACCTTGGACAACAGAAGGGGTTCTTCCGATTCGGAGGAGATAAGGAAATCAAGATCAGACTCAGAGAAACACGATAATGAAAAAGTGAAAAGCACATCAAAGAATTTAAACGAAACTTTAATACCTGAAAAGGAGAAAGCAAAATCGACTAACAATTCAGGGAGAAGATTATCAATATCCCTTCCTGAGAAACATCATGAGCCGACAAATATGAAATCAACCGAGGCAGAGAATAAATTAGCTAAAAGTGATCCAAAGATCGCGGAAGCTACTGTGGAAAAATTGACAAGTAATAATGAGAAATCTGCGGAGGAAGCAGTAATTACTGGTGACGAAGCGGTGGAAGTTGAATCGAAAAAGAATTTATTGCAAAAAGCAAATTCCGAACCAGGACCTCGGGAAGTGTCGAAAATGAATAACAAAAAAGGTGAAAAAATATCAATAAGCCTTCCTGAAACGAAACAATTGATCTCTCCGCCGAGGCTGGTGGCAAAAATGATAGATCGTTTGCAAGAAATCGAAGGGAATAAACAGGATACGGCTATGCCGGCTGCGAGTGAAGTTATTACGACGGAAAACCCTTCGATTTTGAATTCTGCTAAGCCAGAATCTGATGGAAAAGTGAAAAATATTACGATTGAACCGAATTCGACGCGAGGCGTAGCTTTTGATAGGAGTGCTGATCAGAATCGTAAATCGAATATCAAAAGCGAAGACAGTGCATTGGAATCGAGTAATCTTACTGTGGATAGTAGTAAGATATTGTCTTCTACAAAAGTATCCAGGGACAGTTCTGCTTCGTATGGGTACTCTGAGAACCAGTTATTAAAACCACGTAATGATAAACAGAAGTTAAATAAAGTGGAACAATCCTCAGATTCTATAATAATACCTAATCCTCAAACGGGAACGCAAACGTAAGAAAATAATAATTTCATGATTTGTGTTTTATGAATAAGTAAACTGATGAGTATAGAAACCCTGGCATGATTTCATGACAGAAAAATATCAGAAAATGGCACTTATGATACATCAATTTTATGCTTAAAGTTTCATAAAAATGTTTATACAGGATGTCCTAGAAAGAGTGTTAGCCCTTTAAGGGGATGGTAATTAGGATGATTCTGAACAACATTTTCCTTTGCAAAATTGTTGTTTGAAGTTCTGTTTTTGAATTATTAAGGAAAAACACTGGCCCACGGGCTCAGGGGCACCCTGTATAAACGTTTGATAAATGTTCTTAATATAAAATGGCTACTGATCATTTACATTAAACAATGCCCGATTTTATTACATAGAAAATCAGAGTTTTTGTGCTTCGACACTGGCCATTTAATAAAAGCATATTACAAAATTCTTATTTTTCATTAATTAAATTTGATCATTATTAACATCTAGGACCGACGCAGAGATAGCATCATCGTCCAGCAGATACAAAAGGACTTACGTTTTCCCAAAGAAGAACAAAGTAGAACCAGCCGAAGTGACGTAAGTAAAGAAATTACAATTCATCGACAAACATACATCATAATTATTTATTTATTTAGACATACTGATATCGATGTTCAAACGGGTTACGAAGCTCAATCTGAGGTTAGCCCATGTAGAAAGCAGAAATGAATTTTCGATGTAAAGAAACATCCCCAAAGGAAACATATTAATCTCTCTATGGTTCTATGCAATTTTTTAAACAATGAAAGAACCGTTTCAATAATTAGTATACTTGTTAATGACCTATTTAACGAATAATACTCAATAAAATATTTTATAGAAATCGTTTACAGAAAACAGCCGAACGTTACAACAGAAAAGTTTGGGTATCTGTTCTGCCTGTAAGAGAGTCCAGGTAAATATTAATAACTTACAATTTATAAGATTTAAACAATTTATATTGTACGATTTTCGTCTTATTTTTATAGCTACCTACCACGGCAGGTTCTTTTAATTATTATAGTGTTTATAAGGACAAACGTGGACGATATTATTGTGAATTCTGTGCTAATCCGAACTCGATTAAAGTACCACTAATGATTAAAAATATTTTACACAGATTTCTTAATTTATGAATTCTAAATTATATGATATTTTCGTAGGTATTGTATAAAGATGGTAATGAGCCGAAACGTTTAAAATGTGCCGGCTGTGGAAACATTATACGCTCGAAACACAGTTATAATCTGCGAGATGAACTTGTAAGACCAACATTCATTTTAAGACACTTTTAATTTTGTTACTGATAATAAACTTTACCTTTGCAGAAATCTCGAAATAAGCATGATAATTGCCCAAAATGTGGGCAATCGCAAGTACAAGTATCTTCAGTGTCATATTAAATTGAAATAATAGTATCTTGCTATAGATACACTTAATATAGATGCCTGTATATTAAAAAAAAAAAAATTAGAAATTAGAGCTATGAGTAAGTTACTGATTTCAATTTAACTATAAAAATAATTATTTTATTCCAATGTTAATAACTGTAATATAAAATAAAATAGAAATTAATTATTTTATTGCAATCTTAATAATTGTTGTAATATAAGGGATAAAATAATAAATAACTGGAAAGGGTGATCCTTGCGAGGCTCACAAAGTTATTATCTAATTAGTGACATCTATAATTTAAAAAATTGAATCGTTTCAAAAATCATTTATTTAAAAAAAAAAGTAAACTGAAATCATTGATTAATGAAAAAGGCTTTTTAACAACATTACATACTCACAAATGATTGTGAGACAATATAATGCATTGTAAAATAATATTATATCCTGGTTAATATTACGTTCAATAATTTGAAACTACTCTTTTTATATTTTTTGTATTTAAAAATATGATATAACAATCAGTACATTTTATTCTAATAGAAAATACAAAGAATGGAAGCTAAACAAGTTTCTATAGTTTTTGATTCTTCAGGGAAAAAAGGAATCATAGGTACGATTAGAAAATAAAATTATATAAAGGGTCATTTTACAGACTGATTCTTACGATTACAATAATATGAAAAAAAAAAAAAAAGGAAAACAATTATCTAGTTACCATTAATATTGATTAATCTTTGGTATAAAACGAGTTTGCAATAGATTGCAAAATTATACTTCTAAATTAAAGAAAATAATAATACTTTTTTCCTAATCAATAACGCAATACCTAACAATAAGATACATGCTTAAAAATTAATGGGTAAATATTGGTACCTAAGAAACAAACTGTTACAAGTTTTAGAACACTGATTGTAAAAAAGATGATTACTAATTACTAATTACCTTCTTCATTCAAATACTAATTAACAACTTTTCTAAATTATATAAATGACTCGTTAGAAGAATAACAGGTCAACTTTTAGCGTTAATTTTTGTAGATATCTAAAAATTAACAATTTTTAAAAATGCTACTTTTTAAACAAATCGACGATATTTTGCCACAATTTTAATCACAATACAATTTGTATTCGTTTACGAAATTTTTCTTTCTCGATCGCTCTATTTTTTAAAGATAAGCAAAACTCGTCGAAAATGTTTGTGATATTTCCACTGAATATATTTACGAGCTCGTGTTATCGCGAGGCAAATAAACTGTCTTATATAAAGGCACCCAGCGAAGCAATTCAAAGATTACAGTAATGTTATTTTCTGTTCGGAAATTCGGAATCAATACTGATCTAACTCCACCGTTTAAAAATTATTACTTTCACAAGGTTTCTTCATTCAAAATTGAAAAATTTGGTATTATACGCGACTCAATAATGTAAACAAAAGAAAAAAATTATAAATTTTCAAAAGAAAAAAATTTGCCAAAAGATATTAATATATCACTGATATATCACAGGATAACTATACGAAAAATTTTTATCGAATCTGGGCTCATTAACAAAAGAATCCTGCATTTGTTGTGAATTAATTATCGGATAATTGTTCGAAATACCGTTCGACAATTGAATGATTTTTTGAAGCTCATAAGCATAAGCCTCGTGCGGTAATGACCCAGAGAAAGACCATTCAGGGTTCTGTCCTGCTTTAACACCATGCAAAAAATGATCGTTATTCAAAGTTGATCTTTGAACATTTTGCAATATTGCATTTCGATCATTTGATAATTGAAAATTCTGATAATAATTTGGATACTGGAAAGTATCCACCAACTGATGATTGTTTGTTGCCTGCAAACTGAAGACACCACTGACATTATTAATATTATTCGTGTCATTATTAATGGGAATTTGTTGCTCGTTATTATATACATTTCTGTGTTCATAATTATTATAATTTTCGATGTTATTTTCAGAAAATTTTGAAGTTAGACTGTCTACAGAATGTGATTTAGATGAATTAAAATCAACATAAAATCGACACTGACAAGGAACATCTATTTTATAATTAAAGAAATCACGAGTCAGGTGTGGAAAATTTCTAGCACAATTTTGAGTATTTTCCAATGTTCTGAAAGTATTTTCAAAGGATTCTCGAATATTGTTTAATTTTGAACGATTCAAGTATTTCTCTTTGTTCAAATATGTACTAATTAATGGCAAAATTTCATTTGACTGATTATGTTGCTGTGTATCGTTCTTTCTTAAAGTTTTATACAACAAAGATTGATCTAAAGTGTTTTTAAGATTGCCATTAATGTCTATGTTTTTCATTTTGCGCTGATTCTTTGTCGATTCTACTGAATGTTTCGATGTACATTTTTGAACTGTGTGTTGATTAATCGAATTCTTTGATGAATTTTCTTTAGCTGCTTTTATGGGTCGACCCCTTCGAACAGATGCATCGAATGAATTTTGTGTATGATGATTATTTGTTGAGTTGTTTCGTTTCTCGGTGCTGCGTTTCGTTTGAGCAACGACTTTCTTCACTTTAACAGGCTCGATAAACGTCTCCGTTATTTGTATATTTCCGTGCTCGTCGTATGTTCCACATTCTTCGAACTATAATTGGTTTGAAGTTGGGAAATTGATTAAATGAAAAATAGTAATGTTTTGTTGAAATTCGACGAAGAGAGATTTTGTGTTTGCAAAATTATTTGCGACGACTCCTTTTGGTTTACTGGTGGATGATTTTTATTTAGATTTTATTGAAGTGTCAGAGATACTTGTAGATTAATATTGGAAATTAGTAATTTCCTGTTACCTCTACATTTGTAATTAGTAAAGTTAGGAAAAATTGTAGAAGAAAGATTAAGTATTTCTAAAATTAGATTTTTTTTTTATTAGAAATTTCTAAAGTTAGGTATTTTTTAAATTAGAATTTCTAAATTTTTAATTAGATATGCTTAAAAGTAAAATTTTTTAAATAATTAATTCTAAAATTAGATATTTTTTAAATTACACATTTCTAAAATTAAAACCATTAAAGAAAAAGTTATTTAAATAATATGTAAATAATATTCACAGTACATGAAGTACACATGTAAATACACAAAAACTAGACATACAGCAAAAGCTCTAATTATTCCATTACAGACTTGCAATAACAGAAAAAAAACTCGTTATTATAATTTGTTCGATAATTACGAACCATTTCCGCCTTGGCCAAGTAGACCCATAGTTTTCGCCACGTGCTGAACTTATTTTGATCACTGAAGTTGTAACGCATTTCTTTCGACGCATATCTAGTAGCCAAGGGACTACGATAATCATTGTGTTCACTGTTTTCAACCTTCGAGACACTCATTTTCACTGGTTTTAAAACGGATTTGTAAACAATTAGATATTGAAATTTGGTTTCGTATAATACGAGAACGCGTACACTCTACGATCAGCTGATCGTCTGTATTATCTGTCTGTGCGCATCTGTCTCTTTAATGGATATCGACGCATTCATGTGGCGCCTCTAGCTGAGAAACTCTGAATCACTTCATTCAAACTGCCTTACTATAGTACCCAAAAGCATTTATTTATTTTTAGAAAAATTTTTAGAAATATTGTTTCGATAAAAAGAGAAAATTAATTGGAATTAATTGTTGTAATCCATAAGCATTTTAAAGAAAAAAATTGTAAGGAAATAAAGGCAGAAACTCATATAAAATTCTCTAAAATTACTTTCTAAGTCTAATTTTTACAAAATTTAAAAATTTCATGCCCTTATACCTTTCAAAAGAAGTATTACTAACAATAAATATAATTATTACGAATAATACTCGTATAAAGAGGATCGTAAATTTTTTATTTAAAGACACTTTTATTTGTGTAAAATGCTTCAGTTTTAAATAATTCAAAAAATTCAAATTTCAATTACTTTATGAATATAAGCATTACCTAATGAACCTTAAGTAATAGAAAGACCAACTTTTCCTTTTACTAAAATTGAAAGCGTTGATTCTTATCAAAGATTCATGAAGATGTAAACTATAATAAAAGGAATTTTTGTTTGGCTTTCATAGACAGGTTTTCTAATTCTTGCAAATGGCAATGCCATTTAAAGAGACAAATCAAGGGAAAGTACCCACGTTCCATTTTCTCGTGGGACCATAATTGACTGCTGTTATTGTTCTCTCCGCGAAAAAGAAAAATCATATTACCATTAATTCTTGAATTCTCTCTTCGTCGAATTCAATCGTTGTGACAGATTAAAATCTCATTTAAAATTGCAAATGTAAGTTTTTGATAAGAGAAATTAGTTATACGTACCACGTTGGACGGTGTTACATTTGGATTAGCCCATTCAATATTTATTTCATGATTTTTAAAAAGTGTCATCGATTCAGGAACTAGTCTTCTTCTTCCCATAGCTGCACCTCGATGAGTTTTGTAGGAAACCAATACGTAACTAACGAAACCATTCAAGTTTCGATAGACTGCTACCTTATCGACATCATCAGTGATTTCGTAAATACGCTGAAATTAAAAAAAAAAATTAGGCCTCTAAAAACTACAAATTTTTATATAAAAAAAGAGACTTTAAAGTAACTCACAAAATTCAATCGTTATTCAATTTAAGAAAATTTCAAAACCATTCAAAAAGGATTAATTCTTATATTTACAAATTTTTATAATTATTATTCATAAATTACATTAATTAAATCTACAGTATTGGAACACCTTCCTTTTTTCAATTACTTTATTTTAAGCAAATAGATATATTATCGATCGACCTCATAATAACCCAAGTAAAATTTAAATTAACAAACCTTAACAATAATTTTAGTATCGATGATTCGTGGCATTTGGTTGATATAAAGTCGGCAATTGTTAATACTCGCCACAACACCGATCCTTTTACCAGGATAAATCTCATATTGATCCAATTCCTTGATCGCGCGAGCTGCTTCTTCCTCGGTTGTATACATAATGAAACAGTATCCTCTGTTTGCACCGGAAAAGTCCATCATTAAACGCAGTTCATAGATCTTTCCGACAGAGCTGAATATGAAAACGATCTCGGGTTCGTAATAATTTCGAGGAATACTGCCGACAAAAACCTCGCATTTCGGTCCAGGCGGAGGTCCAGTCCATCCGATAGGAGGACCAAGTTTTCTTTGTCCATTGATTTGCGTTAATGACAATTGGGTATCGGCTACGAATTGTAATAATTTTATACTGGCTTCCATTTGGTCCTTAAGACTGGGTACCTTGCTTGTAAGTCGTTGGGATGTGGATTTTTTATTACCTAAACATATTAAATTAATTAAATTAGACTGCGACCCATTTGCAATCTGCTCGCGAACCATTTGCGATCCATTTGGAATCCGTTCACGTACTATGTATTCGCGATTCGCTCTTACGTATATTAATATTATTATATTTTTGAATAATATTTGGCGTAAATAGAAAAATAATTTTCATGGGCATAGTGTAAAATTTAGAAAGAAAAATAACATGACATACAAAATTAAATTAAAATTGTGGCTCTTTCCATGCTCCACCTCCGACGGTTAATCCCCCAAGGGACCAGTGATTTTATATATATTTTTTCATTTGTGGATTGAACACATACATTCTCACAATACGTATTTCGTTAAACAAAAGACAACAGCAGGGCGATAATAATAATTCCAACGGTAATTTTAACATATAATAAAAAAGAAACAAAGAAGAAACATGACTATAATCGAATATGAATCATTAAACTGTATATTCATTTTTCGGAATAAAGAAAATTATGTAATTATAATAATTTTTAATTGGTACTGCAGTCACTTTATCACATAGACAGTATAATATTTCCGACAAGATCTCACAGGAACTATCATAAATTAAAACATAATTAAAAGAATAAAACAAAGGTAATATTATGGGTTATACTAATTGCTTTATTTAAAAATTATTTGAGTTAAATTAAAAAAAAGAAAAAGTAACAAATTTCTCCGGATTGATACACTTCACTTTACTAGTTACAAATTAAATTAATTATCATTTGTCAATATTACATACCCGATTGTATTCTTTTATCTTCTTCTTCATGATTCCTATTAAAATATTTAGACATTTCCTGGACCCTCGAAGCAGAATTCATTATTTCTTCCTGATTATACAGAGTTCCTTCTTCAGTACTAATTGACATATTTATCACTTTCCATAGAATAAATTTTATTTACAATACTGTACTATTATCACATGACAAAATAAGAAATTTGTTTTAATGTATAGATATTACAAAATTAAATTGATTAAAAAAAATCAAAGCGACACTTAGAGATCGACAGTCAACAAACACAAGATCACGGTTCGAAGGAGACTGATGCGGAAAAGCAGGGCTGTCCCCCGGGTCAAGTATGGGGATCAGATGGCGCTTATTTCGGACTAATGTCATTGGATAAATTTGTTTCTTATTAGTCCTCGGAGGGGAGCTAATATTCGTCTCTCATTTTATCCTGTCAATTCTTTTCTTCTCTCCTTTTGAGCTACATACATCGTCTTCTTCTGTTTTCTTCATCGCCATTCCGTCGATTCCTTCTGGAATATACGAATCACAATTTTGTCCCAAAAATATAAATATTCTAAATTTAGCTCCTATTCTACTTTCTTTGATTAAAATATTTTTATTTAACAAAAGGATGAAATGAAATAAAAAAATTTGAATCTTTAGCCATTGAAAGTTGAATCGACGAGAAATTCATATTTTGTGGTGAAGTATTCGAACCTTTTTAGGTGATTCCCTTGGTCGACGATACATTTGTCGCCTGGTTAACTTGTTGCGCGCTCGAAGATTCGAATCAGTGACCTCTTGTATATAAGATTTCCGATACAATGTTTCTGAACAGTCCTGAACGTGTCGAAACAGAAGACGGAAGATCCGAATGGAATATTTCAAGCTTACAACGTCACATCCGTCGCAATAATTTCTTGATTTTTCTCAGAAAACCGTGTAAATAAAGTACCGTGTAAATCGGAGGAGGGGTGTATTTTGATAAATTATAGAAGTGTTTTTGAATGTACAATTGTTTAAAACGAATCATCGCACTTCCGGTAAAATAGACAATTACCTTAATTTTAAGCCTCGCAGGTGATTCACAGCATGATTCAATAAGAAACTTACATATTACATACAAGAAGTTAAACGAGCAATTTGTCGAGTCCAGGCAATTTTTTACCGTATCTTATACATTAATGTTTCTGTCATGTTTCACAGATTATGAATCATTTAATAAGTTTTTAGTAAGCACTATGTATATCTTTGAATATACTGTTTTGAATTTAATATTGATATACATAGACTAACATATTTTTCAATTTCGTTTTTTATATGCCAGCTAAAATTTAGAATTTACAGAATTTATGGAATTTCCACAATTTAAATTCAAGTAAAAGACAAATTTATATTGCAATTTTTTTTTTTATATGCCAGCTAAAATTTAGAATTGATAGAATTTATGGAATTTCCACAATTTAAATTCAAATAAAAGACAAATTTATATTGCAATTTTGTATTATTTATAATTCTTCCACTTGTCAAATTTTACCTAACAAGAGCTTCTTTAAAAATATTTTCTTTGAACGTGCTCGTCGTTTCAACAAAATGCTTTATCGAACCGGTTCAAGGTACACATGGTTAGTCATTTCCATGGTGTTTATTGCGAAAATTCACACCGTCCTGCGCCAATGCACCTTGCGATAGGTAGCATTGTTGTTACCTGCAGGTACGCAGACCTTATTACGTGACAAGGTATAGCTTGTGTAAGTTGAACTACGATTCTCTCTATCTGTTCAGTTGTCGTTCGAGCGCGTCGCGATTCGAGTGTTCTTCTCTTAACCCTTTCCTTCGATACTTTTCAAACTGATGAGATAAAATGTGAATTTCAATTATTTCTTTAACAATCGCTAATTCAATTTACATGTTTACATCGCATCAATTATCAAAGAAAAAAAAAATTAAGAAAACTTAAAGGCATCTTGTGTAATTAATATTTGTGAACGTGAAGAAAGATAATTAATTGTGTAGTAGTAGATTACTATTCTATTTTATTGTAATTTATTAAAATCATTTTAGATTTGAATGGAATATAGATAAATTTTCCTGATATTGTAAAATAATGAATAATTAACACAATTGGAAAATTAACTAAAATGCCAAATTATACAAAATTGCAATTAGCAGTGGCGGATTTTGCTTCTTAACAATCCTAAACGAAAAAAAATATATTAAACCTCATCTGAAAATACAAAAAGCAATCAAATATTTATTACTATCAGCAAAGTAAAATTTTAATCCTTTTTTCTAATTTGGGGGTTTGAGGTGTCCGTCTCTCCCACCTTTGAGAAAATCCTCCCCTAATTATATTTATTGAATTTATAGATCGATTTAAATATAATGATACTATGAATTTTGTGTGATTACAGAAGCTACATGGTAATGCAACGAAGAAAAGTGAAAATTATGCAAACGGGTCAGCGTCGTTCGTTTCTTTGACTCTTTCTTATACACTGACATCGTTCTTCCGTTCATAATATGTGGAATCGCAAAGTGTTTATCAGAATTATCGAAGTGGTGTGTATAAAATGGATTTAAGTACCCATTAAAAATAAATGAGAAAAATATTGGATAAAAATAATGTTTAACTTGCAGATACTTTGTATTGCCTGTGTGGTGGCACTTAGGGTGACTAATGACGAGAGTCGAAGGGTGTTCCATTATTTGAGAAGTCGTAGCAGAGAGTGGTCACTGTTAAACAATGTGACGTGGGGTGCAATAGGTTTGTTTATATTTATAATGTTATATTTTCACATTAATTAAGAGGAAGGGTTGAAAATTAGAATAATTTATCTATAATACTTTTGAACATTGAAATTTTGAAATATTCAATTTTCTATTTTGAAAATAAAATAAGATTTGCATCTTTATCTTAGAATTTCAATTTTTATAATAATTGAAAGTTTGCATTTCCTTTTTCTTAAATAAAATTTCTCAAAAGCTGAAGATCCTGAAAAAGAAAAATTAAAATTCCTATTCAGTCCTATTAATGCAATTTACAGATACTAATTATTGAAAAATAGAAATGTAGAACGCAATTTTTTTTCTTTCATCAATATAGGCGCCGCTCTTGCAACAGCAACTTGCGGTGGTTATATAATAGTCACAACTGGTCTTCTTATTGCTGCTGCGACAGGGGAACTTAATGGTCGAAAAACGGTAACTACATATTTCCTTTTCCAAGTTTTGTCTCCTTTATTATAATAGCTGAGTCATAACGAAATGTCGAACATGCATTCTATGAACTCTTCATTTCTTCCCCGGTAAAGAATTACGCAAGCAGTTACTAGGTCCCTAATAGTCGTATTGTTTCGGTTGTTCAAGGTATTTTCTTCTTCGCGGTACTGCGTCCTTCAACGACAATGATTTTATCGTATATTTCTGTTCTATTCTTTGATAAACTTTTTAAGTGTAAAAATTTAATCTTATGAAAATTTCATTTTCTAATTGAATTTCGTATCTGTGAATAATAATCGTAGGGATTATTGTCAAGGACAATGGTGTAAGTAGGATTTTATTCTAAGGTGAGCCAAGTCTTTTAAGAAATTTAAATTGGAGGTTTGCAATTTTGGAATTTTGGAATTCTAAAATTTTTGGCAATTAGGAACCTTCGAATTCTGAAATAGAAGTTTTGCAATTTTGGTAATCTGTAATCTAAAAATTTTGAAACTAAAGTTTCGCTATTTTGGAATTCTAAAATTTTGCAAATCTGGAATTTCGGAATTTTGAAATATTGAAATTTTAGAATATCGAGAGATCTAATTAAAATTGTTGGAATCAAGCCCACCTTGGTCCCTGTCTAGTTACACCAATGGTCAATGAAAATTGAAAATTTTGCAGTGCTATATTTTAATATAAAACTTCTTAAATTTTAATTCACTATCATGAAATTTTTGCATTATATATAATAAACCTTCACTTATCATAGAAAATATTATAAATAGAAATGGTGGGAAAAAATCGAAACGAAAGTTAAATAAATACAACATAATTTTCAAATTTCTCGCAGCACGGAACACGTTAACTTCCTCGTGAGATAACATAATTTATAAATTTTTAATGACAGAGTCCCAGGGAAAAAACCACACTTTATTTGCATAATTTCTACACAATGCAAGATCTTGTATCATGATAAATCAATGAAATTCTTCAGCAATTAAGCAGCAACTATTCTTCCAAGGTATAACACCAGACGCTCCCACGATGTTAATCAGAAGAATCATTATACATTTCCAATATCCTTCCTGGTACGAGGTCCCTTTTCTACTAACACTCCTTCTTCATTTGCCAACTGACATATTAACTGAATCAAATAAAAAAAAAAAAAAAATTCTTCTTCCAAGGTAACTTTTCCTCATTTTTTCCGATGTGCATATGTAGATCGATGCGAGAAATCGGTTAAATATAGAGCGCACGTATCAACGATACCGTGAGAATAATGGTAATGGTAATTAACCGGTGCTGTCATTGAGGGGCAAGGTTAAAAATGTCCTTAATGCAAACAGCTTAGAAAAAATACATGCATAACAGCATCCTTGGAGAACTAGCCACGTAATAAGCGTGTTGTGATTTATTTAATGACTCATAACTGGGGATAGGCTGATCGCAATGATTCTTGTATGCATTCAATGAGATTGAAATTTGCATTGAAAAAAAAAAGGTAGTAGAATTCAAGTATTTTTTGTATCGTTATTTCAGGAGCTGTTCTTCCTTGGATTGGGGGTTATTCTTTTCGGCATTGTTGGCGCTTTGTCTATGGCGTCTATAGAAAATGTCCCTGAAGATTTGGTAGATAATGCTGCGGTTTTTGGGGCACTGTGTTTATTGACCGCGCTAGTTTTTATCGCTGATTTATTAATGAGCACTCCCAAGAAGAAGGATAAAGAAGGGATGAAGGAACACTTGACTGATAAGAGAGGTATGTTATGAAAAGTGAAATTTTGATATCATTTGATTATTTAGAGTAATGTTATTGTAATTAACTGGATTTTAAGAGCAAAGTTTTTGTAATGAAAGGGTTAATAATGGAAAAATTTCTTTTTTTCTAAAATACTATAGAGAAACGGCAAATAACCACCTTAAGCACCGAAAAAGAAACAAAGTCACCGAAAGCTAGTCCAAAAATCTCCAAAAAAGACGACAACGGTAACATCAACAATGGGTTCGATAAAGTAGAGGAACAGCATCAAAAGAGCGCGGTTCAACAGGTGTCTGAAGATCCTCGAAGGTGGGAAGAAGATCATTCTTCAAATCAACGTACCAGAGACACTTATGGAGATGATGAAAATGACAATTTCAATCGAGATAACAGAGAACAGAAAGAATATACTCAAAATTTTGAAAATGGAAAGGCTCTTAGAAACTCGCAAATGTATCGAGATTCTGAGAGGCAAAAAGGTGCTAACAGAGACTCTTATAAAATGATGCACAGAATGGAAATGCCTACAGTGGTGTACAAAGCTCATGATATTTATCAACGTCCTGTTGATGAAGTGGATACACCTCGATTCCCGATTGAAAGTAATAGCAGGGGTGAAACGATGTTCGCGAAAATGATTAATCCCGGAGTGAAGATCATGAAAGTTGAACATGACGTCGATGAAGCTACGTTTGATGGATACAGGTGAGATGGCAATCATTTGTCAATATACGAATGTGCAAATTATCATATAATAAATTGTATTTACGAATCAAAATGACTGTAGTTCTATTTTAATTTTTAAATTGGAATTTTTAAATACTGGATTTTTGGCAATTTGAAATCTTGGAATTTCGAAATTTTGTAAATTTATAATTTTTTAATTCTGAAATCCTGCAATTTTGGAATATTACAATTTTAGAATTTTTTTTAATTCTAAATTTTTGGCAATTTGAAATCTTGGAATTTCGAAATTTTGTAACAGGATTTTTAAATTCTGAAATCCTGAAATTTTTGAATATTAAAATTTTAGAATTCAAATCCTTATATAATAAATTTTAATTATGGATCGAAATAACTGTAATTCAGGACATCTGTTTTCCAAAGGTTAATAATCAAAAAGCGTTGGTACTAAACTAAAAGGTTAAATTAGGAAATTTAATGATATTCTCCACTTCGTTTGTTCATTTCATAGATACTCTGACACAAGTCAATACGACAATGTACCAATTCGAATGAAAAAAACGTCGCCCAAGAGTCAAAGGAAAAATAGAGATGTGTCTTTCAATGTACCACCTCCACCAAAGGGTTATGAAAGAGATATTGAAAGAACCAAAGATGAAATTGAAATGCTCGAAGAATGTTTTAGTTCGCTTAGAACTACAACTACTGGGACCCAAACGCCTAACGTGAGAACACCCTCAACTCCAACTGATCCTGGATACGTTCGACATACAGCTAGCAATTGGCCACAAGAGACGAAAACGAAAACACCAGGTTCTAGTCCTAGTCACACGAGAAAGTGATTGAAATTCAATTCAAATTAAGAAATAGAAAATAAAAGTTTCGAGGTGCTGATCGTATGAGAGAAATTATACACTGATTCTTGAGCTTAGAAATAAGCTAAATTGGTTGAATTTTGTATTTTTATATATATGTTTCAAAATTTTTTTTTAATTTTAGTGCTAGAAATTCAATTGCATTTTTTGCAATTATACCCTTGAATAACTTAGAAGAATCATAATTATTATATTTGAGGCCTTCCTCAATTTAATATTCCATTCTTGTCTTTTCCTAATTTCTCATTTCTAATATGACTAATATAATATGTATTACCTTCATTAACTGTTATTATTATCCCCAGTCATTCACCCCTGTAATTCACTGACAAAGCAAAAGGGGTGGAACAACAAACGCGTTCTAATATATGTAGAAACTTTTTAATATAAAGTATCAACACCTCCGTTCACATCGATACGCATACATACAATTATTAATAATAATGTCATTTTGTGATAAACAATATAACCGCAGCTTGTTAGTCTCCATCGGAACGTACTCGCTAAGATTAATCATTAATCGGATTTACAAATCGTTCAGATTACTCTACCGTGTCGTTGCTTTTTCTTACACTTCTGTATAAATAAATCGATGCTATTCAACATCAATATTTATCATCCAACGTGATCAACAATTTTTTTCATTTAGATTTCATGAAACTTGTCGTCACAAGGAGAGAAAAGAAAAAAGAAACTAACCGGAAGGACTCTCGATTTTTTCTTGAAAATCAAACTAACTATCTTCTTTCACTCGGTTCTCTCTTTCTCTAAACGTTTCTAAACGCGTATTTACAGAGTCGAGAATAATTGCTTAGATACTTGAGCATTCTTCATCTTCTTCATTAACATCCTCTGTACTTTACAGAAGAAAATCAAAGGTTTCTTCTTTTCAAGACTGTATAATTAGTCTCTCTTAAGATTAATAATAAATTGTTACTGTAAATTGGACTGTTGTTGGATCTATACTACTACCTTCTATTTGTTTATTCTTGTAAAAAAATTCCCTTGAAAAGTCATTGAATGTTGTTAGATTATTGTTGAGATTGTTTATTGTGCTTTTGTTTATTCTTCTTATTTTTCAGCAACTAGCTAGATGTATTTACAAGACTTTCAAATGGTATTCTTGTTTTCCCCTTAATCTCAACCAAATTCGTTAATAAATAAATAACAAAACATTAAATTTAGTTTTTTCTTCTAGAAAAAGTTTTTGTCTTCTGGTTCATTGGCGATGAAGAAACCATTTCAAGGAAGGAAATTTATTTCATTCTTTCATTGATGAAATAATCTCTCTTCGAAATAGCCTCTCCTTCTAATTCTGAATAAATTTCTATGTACAACAAAATTTATCTTCCTTCATCCAACAAAATAGTCACTACCTTCTTTTGACTTACAATTGTTACTGTTAAATTTCTATTTACAATGCTCTTGTTATTCAATTGATCATTGATGAAAGAGCACAGAATTGTGATTAATTGAATTTAAACGATATTTTGATGCAGCTAGAAAATTTTATCTCATGCCAAATCCAATTCCAGAGCTTTGAGCATTGGTCGCTCTTTGTTCCATGGTGATGTATTGTCTAATTAATCGCGAAATTTCGTGAGCTTGTTCTGTTTGGAGCCTTGTTATACGTTGCTGCATCAAATTGCCACATTTCATGTCCAAATAAAGGGTTCCCTCTTCGGATTTCACTTTCCTGGTGGAGATAACTTCGGAATACGGGTAGTGGTACAATGTTTCCTGAAATTTATTGCGAATTTTGCAAATTATTGTCCATTTACTCTATTGTTATTACTCAGTTATCGGCTGCTGTTTGATTATATTAAAATTTTAATTTACTTTGAGTTTATTTTGATCTTGAAAATGAACAGAGAAGTAATTTATCAGATCAGAGGTTTAACATTTAAAGGATTTCTTTAAATATTTTAATTTGCAGTAATGTTTGGATAATTAAAAATTTAGTATTATAATTAAATTACTTACGTGTGTAATTAAATCAATAAAGTGCACTCCGTGTCTGTTCAATGCTAAAATATGATCCCCACCCTTTTCTTTACCTTCAGGCACCCTTTTCACGGCGAAGAAACTGGATCCGAATAATGGCCACTTCCACAAAATTTCTGAAAAATTAATTGAACCATAAATTGAGACCATGGAAAGAGCCACAATTCTAATTTAATCCTGTATTTCATATTATTTTCAAAGGGGTCTATCATAGAGAAAATGTTTAAAGAATAACCTGATATTTTTTATTCCTATATCACTGCACTCGTACACCCTGATTTTAATTAAAATAAAGAGCACTAACCGAGTACTTGAGCCTTGCAAGCAGCCACTGTATTATGTTGTACATTGCTCCATGCTTGCTGGACCATGTTTGCCCATTGTTGAGGTCGTGGATCTCTTAAACTGAGCACTGGTTTTGGTAATAAATATTTAATTTCCTTGGTAGTCGGCTCGTGGGTCATATCTGCTGCCCTATGTAAAAGAGCTGCTATTTGTGCCATATCATACTGAAAAAAATCAAGAAAAAAATTAATTAAAACGTCAGAAAAAAATGTTCAGTATGTTATGATAAATATAAAATGATATGAAGGACTCACTATGACTTCTTGAGGTAAATGTTCCCCAGGTAAGACCAATAGAAGGCCTTCTAAATAGTCTGGAGCAATTTGATTGAACACAACTTCTATGTACAGTGGTGCATCCAGTCTGAGGGGATAGTACCAAACCGATCTGAATATGAAAAAAATTGCATCAACCATTTAAAATATTATTTTAGCTGCAATTATATGAATTAATTAATAGTTTTGAATTACACACGTAGATAGAATAGTATTATTATTTTTGTGGATCTATAGAACAAAGAATTAGTTTTTTTATTATTGGTTAAATTATTTAATGTATAAGCAATTTTTATGGAATACCTGCAGAATATTAGGTAGAACACTTGATGATTTTTATGAAGTTCCGTAGTTACATCTAAAACGTATTCATCTCTTGCTAATGGCATAGTAAACGCATCACCATCGACGATACAGTATAATGAAAATTCATCCATTTCGTGGGGATTCCTGACGGATATTATGTTGCACATCTCCTCAATAACATCCTATAGAAAGTATAAAATACACATCAGATTAAATACATTGTGTTTATTTTAAAGGAAAAAAATTTTAAAATAGGCAATGATGCTGCAAAAATTTAAATTTGCGCGACAAGTGCCGCCAAACTATTCATTTATCGCCGCCAGGTGGCTATAGTGATTTGGTGCCCGAAATTCAATAGTTTTATAAGTGCAAACAAGAAAGAAATAACAACATTTCTACGAATGTAAGTTACTAATTTTCTTATTTTTATGTTAAATAATAATTGGCGATACTTTTTTTATGGTATAAACTATAAAATAATAAAATTTGAAATGTGAATACATCGAATATGTTAAGCGCGTAACTTGCAAAAAGTTTTGGGTTAGTAAATTAAGTAATTTTTAGTTAATAATTATGTTTTATAATATTTTATGCATTTCCATCTGATTTTTTAACTTCTTTTAAGGATTGGACAAGAATTCAAAATTCTTATTAGTATTCAGTTATTAAGAATTTTTTTATATTACTGAATATTATTCATTAATTTTTCCAAAGACTTAGCTTTGAGTTATTTCAATACAGTAATTAGAGATTTACCTGCACAACAGTAGTACATTTTGTGTTGATAACCCTCTCTGTTCCACCTGGAAGTCTATAAATCTGTCTCTTTGCATTCCTGCCAGCACTGATGGCCATGATCTCATCTACACTAGGCACGTTCTTTCTTCCTCCATATTTAACTGTTTTCCTGAGATTCTGTAGACATACAGTGGCTGTTCCATGGTACGCTCTTCTTTTATCATAGGCAGCAGTTTCAAGATATTTAGTAAGATAAGGTCTTAGGCCATCACTGCAGGTGAAATAGGCAGCAACAATGCTAAAGATTCTCCATCCGCGCTGACAACTATCAGGGTTTGGGCTCTTGTTATTGGTAGTTTGTTTCATCAACTGACAGTACACTTCATCTCTAAGGAGTTCATATTTGTGACAGTGCTGTAATGAAATAGAAATAGAGAAACTAGATTATTTGATGAGGTAGATTAAAGTGGTAATCATAAAACTTTTCTTTCCATATAAAATTAATGACATGAGGTTTATAAGTTTTTGATGTACCATTGAATTTATTATACGCAATCAAATTCAAATAACTGATAGAGGAGAAATCTTTAGAAGCAACAGCTGAGAGCAAATTAAAACTTCTTGCATTGAAAGTAGGACATGAAATCAGTGTCCTGTATTGAAATTATCTCAATACATTTCACTATATTTATTTCTATATGAAACTAAAGATAATGCTCAGTTCAACTTTCTAATACCAATTAAATAGCATGACACTCTTGCAAGATATAAAATTTGTCTATCTTAAATTATTCCATGAACGATCAATTTATATTTCAATCGCTTACCATCAGAATAGTGTAGACACATTTAACTTCGCTAGTGTCTGGAGGTAATGGCTGATCACCCATGTATCTCATCAGACATAGGAAGCACTCTACAGCTAAAGCACTCAAATCTGCATCCAGCCTTAACAGACTTTGCTCTATTGGCACAGCTGAGTATTTTACAAGATCCACCTGTTCCTTCCAAGTCCATTCTGCTCCATCTTGTTGACCCTTGCTCTTCTTATTCTTTTTCTTACTCTTCAGGGACTCAATCACTTTAAGTGAGCCACTTATAGAACCATCTGCTGTTTTCAGCATCTCAAACCTATCAAAAAATAATTACTTCATTGAAACCTTTGTTTATGGTTCTACAAATTCTTTTCTTAGGCAGTATCGAACAAGATGTTTTACTTGAAATGCTAGTTCCTAGTATAATTGCACGAAGGGACTGTTAGAATTGATTGATCGAAGGAACGGGACTCTAAGGTGACGTGAGTGATAGTCTTCCAAAACGGAAAACCTCCAGTCGAAGGAGTGCTAGACCTTAAAGGGGATTTCCATTGCAGGATGCTGTTACTGGGAAGAAAAAGTCCCGTTGAGAGTACAAGCTAGGTGGTCGTCACTTGTCAAAGTCATGTTTAGGAAGTCTTTACTCTAGTTAGGTGTTTTAATGATTCTTCTTCGACTGTATCTCGTTGATTTGTTATCGTTTTTGTAACGAATCCTCTTTCTACAACTGCATTTGTTCGTATTCTCCAGGTGTCTTTGGATTGTTCAATTATTTTTAAAACAAAAAATCATAGAGAATCAAACTAATCAGACTAATTTATTTTGAAACATAAGGGTAAACTTTTTCTTGTAATTGATGTAATTTTCTATTCATTTATTACATTTTCAAACGATGCAGTTAATAGTTTGATAAAATGATACTTAAATAAAATAACGACTCTCTTTTATATTATTAAAATAAAACGTACATAAATTTCAGACATCTGTTCATTTGTGACCTTTCGAATTCAAGCAGAATCCTTTATTTTCCACATAACTTCTTCTCAGGGAACACTAAGATTTAATTGAATAAATTTAATTTAATCTGACAAGAAACGAAGCACTTTGAAACGTTGACTTGCTAAATGTAGAATAATGACAGAAGAAGATATGGTACACTCGTTAGACCGCACGTTCACCAAGATGGTCGGTGTTGCTCTGAGAGTTCTAAGTGCGTTATGCTTTCTCAACACGGTCTGTCTGTGTTTCTTGCGTAAGAGTGGCCAATTAGTGTTTTAACATTAATTTCTCTTTTACTACGGTGCTTTGATTTGGTAAAAGTGTTTTTGTCACGGCACAGAATCTTCTCTGACCACGGTCATTTTGGTACTTACTGAAGTTCAGCCTTAGAGTGCACAGCATGCAACAAATTTTGTCGAGAAAAAATACATTAAAGTTGTCAAACGACTTTCACGAGTGTTCTAATTTTGTAGAATCTTAGTAAATGTCAGAAGTAATAATTTTGCAAAATTGCAGCAAAGTTAAAGAAAATTATCAACCCTTTTAATTAAATATCAAAACTTGTATTATAATTAATTATTCTGACTGTAATTTAGAAAAATTACAATACAGTATGTTAAATATTTTGAAAGTTATAACAATTTATAAATAATTAAATTTTTATCAATTGTAGAAAATTTTGAGTCAGAGAAATTATTTTATTTTATTAATTAAATAGAAATTAAAAGATTTAAAATTTTAAAATATATTTGCTATAATTTTGCAAAATTATAACTGTGTTATGGCCCTCTATAATTTTCCTAGGTTTGCCCAAAATTGACTGTTGTCTCAGAAATTTTATTTATAAAAAAAAGAAATAAAATACTAACTTTTCTGTGCTCTGCCTGAAATTGAGCATGGCATATTGTAACAGAGAGTGTTTTCCATCGTTGACCACCGGTCCGCTCTCGTAGATCCCATCTTCTTGTAGTCTGCCGTTGTCTTCCGGTTGCCTCCATTCTTGGTTCGGGCTGAGTCGTTGGTTTAGCTGGTTTTTCTGATGGTTTGTCTGGTTCGTTGCCGACACGTGGTTCGGCACACGACTCGCAGACACGTGGTTCTCGTGGTTCGATACAACGTGATTAGATTGACCGTGAGATTGTACATGATTCGGCGTACCATGATTCGTCTGCGACTGAATCGATTTCGTGATCTGAGATACATGATTCTCGTGATGATTCGGCTTGTGCAATGGCTTCTGCTCGACCTGCAATCATAATAATAATATTTGGTTAATTAAAAAAAAATTGATTGCATTTTCATTTCAACCCTCGGAGCGCGGACCATGGAGAGAGCCCCCTTTGAATTTAATTTTGTACTTCGTATTATTTTCATTTCTTAAATTTAACATTTTGGATCTCACTGGACTCAAATTAATTAATTCATTTCTAATTAGACCTTTGATTTGATTATTTAAATTTTTGCAGAAGCTATGTTTTTAAACAAAGAACGATAAAATGTTGAAATAACATAAAAGAAGAGTATCTTATTTTTTGTAGATTTATTGAAAAGGAATTTAAAAAAGTGGACTCAGACAGTGATATACGAAACTGAACTTTCACATCGCTCCCATTGATTCGCCTAACTGGATCAAAGGAAATCGTTTCACTTTTGACCAAGAAAGCGACAATTATAAATCCATTAAACGTTCTTATAATATCCATAGTGAAATGATACGACAGCATTTCACTTCCACAATAAACATGATTGAACATTGCGTCAATCATTAAATGTCATATCAAATATTTAACTACAACTTGACATAGTCGATCTAACGACTAGAAGGGAGTTTAGATTTCATTTTCCATCGTCGATCCGTTCTTCTATCTCCGACAGGAAGATCACGTTTAACCGTGCAAAGGAACGTTGTAAAATCGCGATTATTATCAGTCCGCTTTCGTCAGTGATATACAACAGGGTTTCTCGACCTTTCCTATTATTCATTTTCTCTTTCGACTCGCATTTCCTGCTTTTCACCAACGCCGTTGCGGATATCTCGGATCCGTCGATCGATCTCTCGAGAAAACGGGTTTCCTTGCACGCGATCCAGAATCGAGGAAGGAATGCGGAGAACACATTCGACCCGGCTCTTCTCTTTCCTTACTATTCGTTTTATCCGACGAACGAGCGAATTAATAATCTTTCAACGACCTACGACCAACTTATTCCATCATTCTTTCCAGTTACATCCGGCTACCTGATTTCATAGGTTCGATGTTATTTCACGTGTAAACGTCAGCAAATGATATCCGAGATTTTCTTACCTAATGTGATTCGCATGATTTACGATAACAGGTAAATATACCGTGTTACGTGTTTTATTGGTTGTTGGGTTTGAAGGTCGAACAGAACATTTATGAAATTAGTTTTCTTGATAATATATTCAAATTGTAGTCGTTTGCTTGTGAATTTTAAATCAGTTTAAAATTATTACACGTTTTTTAAAAATTTTATATATTCTTCCCCGAGTCTATAAAATTCAGAGCACTTGAATATATATTATTGTTGAAGCACAAAAATTATTTAGAATTGAAAATTTATGTTTCATTTTTTTGTGAATTAAATTCTTCAAAAATTGAAAATTTGAACAAAGTTTTTAAAGTCATAAAATAGTATTATTAACAGATAAACTGATGAGATTTTCTCGATAACAGAATCTTGTATTAAAAATTTTATGAATTACCTGTTGTAAAAGTAATGGCACTTGTTCATCCTTGAATTTTAAATTGAATTTTAACGAAGGACATTTATGAAACTATTAATTTTCTGCCACTTACTTTTTATTTATCAATTGATCGATGAGTCTCGATTCTGAATGGGTCATTTATGACAGAAAATCGATACTATTTGCGTTAGACGATTTGGATTACCGTGACCGTTGGTAATGTCGTGAAAGTCGGAATTTCTATCCTCGTCCAATTGCCATTATTACATCTCCATCTGGCATATATTTAGTAAATGTGATTTCTTTGGCCTGTAGAGTAATTTTTCCCTGCCGCTGTTGCCGGAATGATATTGCAATAACGTAACCCTCAATTTACCGTAATTTCCAAAGTAATAAGCGGCTGGTGATCGAAAATAAAGGACCATAGAACGTTGTCAATTTTGATGGCTATCGTGTTAGTAATATTACGCTTTTGAATGTAAATTGCGTTAAAAAGAGGATTGCTGCTTGTTGTTCTTCGAGAAACCTATTCAATCTTTTAATTTTCTTATAAAATTAAAAAAAAAAAATACAGTTTTCTTAGAGAAATTTCAATTTCAAGAGCTTGTAAATCCTAATGTTTCAAATTTTAACTTCAGAGAAAATTACTTGTAATTAATTTTTTGTTACTTATGCTCTTGTAACAAGTACAACAGTTGTGAATCTTTTTTTCTCGTTCTGCTTAAAGTTAATCCTTGGGTCGTTTACCTCATTCTTTTTCTTGATTCGACCATCTTTTTTCAAAAAGCAAGGGAGTTCAATGGCCGTCTAAGTGATTTCTAGGTAGCTTGTACAATTTATCAATGAAATCTGTGAACAACACCCGGTATATCGATACACGCGAAACACCTTACTGACAAAACTTGAATGTACCTGAGCAAGCAGGATAAGCAGATGTCGACCCTGACCCAGATAATCGTTAATGCATCCGAGATACGTTGGAAGGCTTCAACATGTACATAGTTACTCTAATGATATTAATAAGAACAACCATACACTAGATTTTCTCCGGCCTGCTTAAGAATGAATTACTTTACAACTTTGTGATTATTATTGGGTTGTAATATAAGTTCCTAGTTTCCTTTTTCCTTTTCTTAATGCAGTTTTTTGTGATACGATTCTGTTCATGTGGTTTTGTTATACTTTTCATTTTAAATTAAATTGTAGGTTTTCAAGTTGAAAGGAATGGAGTGCAAAGCTTTTTTTCCTCGATGTCGAACTACATACATATGTTAGAACTAAGGCTGTTAGGAAAATCTGAATATCCCATGTATTGGTGTAATTAGGATTATTTCTTGAGGTTGGTTAGGTTCCCTAGTTTTATTAACAATGTCAAGTGTTAATATTTTGCACTTTGCAAGATTCTGCGAGAAAATTTTGGAATTTTAGAATTTTTAAATTTTAGGATCTTAGAATTTCAGAATATTAGAATACTCTAATTTAAAATTTTTTAAATGTTAGAATCTTAGAATTTTAGAATTTTAGAATTTTGGAACCTTAGAATGTTAGAACCTTAGAATCTTAGGATCTTGGAATCTTAAAACCTAACAACTTTAGAAGCTTAGAAAGAGGGCTAGTCCACTTTTTTAGATTTTGAATTAGAATTTTACCTTTCAATAGTTAGATCACTTCGAATCTTAAAAGCATTTGAATTTTCAATTACATAAAATATTACATTGCAACCTGATTCTAATTTCAACCAAACATACATAAATGAGTTTTCATGCAACATGACACAAGATTAAAATAGAAAAAAAAAAAAAAATAAAAATATACACTAGCTATTTTAGGTATCGTTAAATTCTAATTCGTTGTTCGTTAACCTTAATTGGCCGAGAAGCGATGCCTTCTAAGGTGGCACCATTAATTCTCTTTAAATATTTTAATGGTTCCGCTCGTTACACTCTGCACACGGCTTCAATTACGGTACCTTTACGCCGGCAACATTTTACTAATATGTTCTCGAACCTGCTGGATTATGCTAAATTGTACGACATCAAACGTCTGCATTCCATTTCGGTACTATATATTACCGGTTTAACGGTAAAGAAGACATTTTTAAGCAACAATTTCTCAGATTCAAAAATTCAACCGAAGAATAATCTTTCAAAGTAACAGTACGGGAAATTGAATTTCTGCTTTTCAGAGCCGTAAAATGAACATAAAAGGTTGAGGTTCAAGTGTCGTCAAGGACATCGTGGCTCGTGTTAATCGAAAAAGGAACTTTATCGGTCGTAAAATATCAAAGTTGACGACCCTGTTTCTCCATTATAAATCCATTCGAAGGAAAACTGCATTCGAAGATGATTATCTGCTGTTTGTACATTAATTGTGTCGTTGATCGACTGTGTCTTTCAATTGTGATTAAAAATATTTATAAAATTTTGTATAGTCCCTTTTCTCTTTATAATAATTCTATCATATAAAATTTTAGATATCGGTTATTGAAAGCTATTCGAGGCTATTGTTAGTTGTTTTCTTTTTCTAATAATTTCAATATATAAAATTTTAGGCTCAGGCTATTGAGGGCCATTGGGGACCACTGACAGTCCCTTTTCATTCTCTAATAATTTAATTATATACCAATCACTGATACCTTTCATAGTCAAAGTATTAATTGCCAATGTAATAATGCAACAATCTATAAAAAAATGTAGGAAAAGCGGAAACGCGAATGTCAAGTCTCACAGAAAGCCGACTCGGAATATTTATTAATCGAGGACAAGAATTTTATCGTGACCTGGTAGCTCTTGACCTTCTCGTCGAGTTTCTTCAAGGTCTCCTGTATAGTGGTGAGCGTCTTGTCGTTCGACTTCTCCTCGACTTGCGCCTCGTTCTGTGTCCTCAGCTCCTCGAATCTCTTCAGAATCTCCCTAACGCTCAATTTACTTCCATCAGCATTTTCCTCGGCAATAGTCTCCATCTTCGAAACCTTTCTTTCCCCGTTCATTCTACCAACAATCTGTTCGCTGTCATAAAAATCTTGAATCAATTCGTTCACCTGAGCATCCTCATTATTCTGTTTATGTCTAGCTGGAGATTGAGCTCTGTATTTGATCTCAAAACACTCGTTGCTCTTCGTTGGAACAGGCTGAACGTTCTTCGAGTTCTTTAATAAGCAACCCTCTTCAAGTCTCAGTTGTTCGATCGTTGGTTGAGACGGAGGTCGATCGTTGCCGGAATTAATCGAAGTCACCGGGCTTAAAAAGGGTTTCTGGTCCAATTTGGACACATCGATCCTTGGTATATTCTCGTACTCAAATTTTGCTTGATTCGATATTTTAGATTCTTTAGAATCTTTCTTGGTTGACTCTAAGATCCTTGAAATCTGTTTCACGTTATTCTTATTCACATCTACTTTGCCAGAGTCAGGTGACACTTTCCTATCTTCCTGCTTCTTTTTCTTCTTGCATTCATCCTTGGCGAAGAACTTGATAAATTTATTTCTCTGATCATTCTTCGGACCCTTTTCACGATTCGATGCTTTCTCCAGGAAAGCCCCAGAGTCGTCTGTCTGTCCATATTCGTCGCTGCTCAGATCAGACTCCGAGGATTTTACCAGCAAACTGTCCGGGGAATTGGTCTTTCGATCTTCGTCGGAGAAGTTCCTAGACTCGAACTTCCCGACGAGATTACTTAGACTCTTTCTTCGAGGGCCAAGTTTCTGATCCTGGTCCTCGTAGTGCTTTCTGTAATCTTCATCTCTGAAGAAGGAATAATCTGTCGATCTCTTCTCGATCTTGACGTCCTTTCGATGATCAAGATTCTTTCCATTTTCGTTAGTTTCCAGTTTTCGAAGGAACTCGGATCTTCTTATCATTCGTTGGACGTTGTTGAACGGTTTCGGTTCAATTTTACGACACTCGTTCTCAGAGATTTCTGAAGGGTCGATGAATTGAGAGAGGATCTCTGGACGATGTTTTTGTCTCTTTCTTAGAGTGGTTGGTAGCTCTGCCCAGTTACTAGATAGTCTTTTTGAGAATATTCCTTCGGTATCCGATACCTCCCTCTCCATTTTTGATCAATCGATGGCGGACACTGGTGGATTAATTGGAGCAACTGAAGGCATTTGGAAACTTCGATGATGGCGATCACTTTTAGGATGTCATGACCATCCTGGTTGAAAGGAATTTATTAATTTTAAATTTTGATTTTCAGGGAATTAATGGTTCTTGAATGTACCGTGCAAAGTGTATTATTTCACTTTTTTATAGAAATAATAAATTTGTCTTCTGAGTGGTCTGTTAATCTAATATTTGCTGTATTAAATTTTCCTTATAATTTTAGCTTCACATCGATGTACTATAAGTGCAATTTTGCAATACTTTTATGTCATCAAATCTTGACGACACGAACCAAACCTAATTCAAATTTAATCTTTGTATTTCGAAATCGGTCATTGTGCGCTATAGCTGGTAATCAGTCATTTTGTATTGAGAATACTAAAGAAATGCTTACGTAGTCATTTTTATTATACTCCAAACTTTAAATTGGCGTACCATAAGTTCAATTTTGCAGTATTTTTATGTCATGAAATTGTAATGACATAAATTAATTGCAAGAAATCAGTTGTTGTTGAATATAATTAATAACCACCAATTTTATATTACGAATATCAATGAAATCCTTATTTTATCATTTTTATTAAATTTAAAACTTTAAATTGATATACCATAAGCATAATTTCGCGATACTTTTATGTCATCAATTCATGTCAGACTTTCTCCACTTCCCATGCACCAACCCAATAATTGCCTCTGATTACTCGAATTAAATAAGATCTTTCACGGTCATGAGCAATCATTGTCTGTAGATTTAAAGAGTTTTTAGTACTAATTAACGAGAGAAAAGGACCCAGGCATAATATTAAATGGATCCAGAGAAACTCTATTAAACATCAGTCATAAATTAGACAGGTTGCAGAGTTTCGATACCTCTCTGTTTATTCTCACTCCAAGAATCTTTAATAGAATTTCGAAGCGGCATAATTGCCGTGATTAAATACCTAAGAGAAAGGTGAAAGAAATCGTGAGAAACGTTCACGGATATCTGTAGCGAACCGAACGAATAATTAAAGGAATACCAGCGGGAGAAATGGAAGGAGAAAAAAAAAAAAAGAATGATAATGATACGCAACGTCGATTCAAGAGAAAGCAATGTTTCGGCGATGATCTGGGTTCAAGGAACCTTTACTTATAATGTTCATTTACGCGCTTTCCGCCCGAAAACGAACGCTGATCCGCTTGAAAAGCCGCCGAGCTGTCCTCGTTACGGCACGCAAAAGCTGAATGTGGATCACGGAAGAAGGACCTTCTCTTCAGGGCCTCGTGAGAACACCGACGAAGAAGCCCCGCCGTGAGACCGTACGAACAATGTGCACTTTTCATTGCAATTATTTTCGCGCTAACAAACTCTCCTTCGTTCCGTCAGCGAACGAGAAAGGCGTCCGCTTTCGTGGAAACCCGGCTTATCGCGTGTACAGAGAGGAAAAAGGGCTTCGCTTTTCACGTATACTCGATTTCCCTTTGAAAATATTTGAATAATAAAAAAATTCCTAGGAAGTTGCCAATTTTGAGTAACTATTTCATATTTGTTTAAAATTATTTTTTCTATCATCTTTTTTCAATTACTTAATCGTGTTGTCAATGAAAAATTGACAGAAGCTTGCTAATTTTTATTTATCAAGTATAATATATAGTGACTCACGAAAGTATTTGAACACTTACCATGAAATATTATTAACACTGTAAATAGGTATGAGTCACTGTATTTTCAAATAATTTCATATTCATAATTATTCTTTCTTCCATTTTTCTTTTTTTCTTTTTTACTTAATTATATTGTTAATGACCCCTATTGCAATTAACGTGTTAACGTTCCAAATGACTGGTTCAATTAAACCGCGTGCAAGTTATTCATATGTCTCGTGGAATTCTTGTCTGTCCCCTTTGAAAATTTGTAAAAACGCAAACGCAGCGGAGAAAAGGTCGTCGAGCCTAGATTCGAATAAAAGAGGAAAAAGAAGGAAGTAGAATCCAGTCGTTTCTAGTCAGTATGTCACCATACTGATGCTGGACGATGAGCTTCTGACCCACTAAACGTCCATCGTTTTACCTTTATTTAATCCTATGCACGAGGCAAGATGAACTATGCAAATAAGATTCATTTGTTATTATAATTTTCGCTTCGAGCGTAAATCATCATTCTTTTTTTTCTTTTCCATTGTTTACTTGTCAATGATCTATTGATTATTATAATACAAAGAGGAATAATTTATTTATGAATTGAAATATTTGTCGAGAAATCAGAAATAAAAGACAAGTTCCTTCAAGGATGTTGAATCGATTGATGTTCTTTTTGCTTTAACTAGTGAAAAAGAATGATTTTTTAGGATATTCGTTCCGCAAAAGGGCATACAGAACAATCGGCGAATGAAACAGCTAATTAGCATTGTCCTGTTCTGCTCTGTTGCACGTCTCTAATTAAATGACTTTTGCACTGACTGTGTCTCAGTTAACAGACTTTTTTTACAGAAATTATACTTTTAGAGACTCTTCATTAGAGAACAGTAATAATGAGACAATTAATGAGATTTCACTCATTCTACATATGTTTCGAATATCTCAATCTTCGAACGGCGGACCATGGAGAGAGTCCCAATTTTAATTTAATTTTATCATTTCATATTATATTCATTTTCAATTCCTTCATTAATTGGATTTATCATGACTTTTCGAAAATGAATCTTCAATTAAAAAAATAAAAACAAATTTGCATACCTAACATTTTTTTTTTTAATTTTCTGAAATGCAAAATCAAAGCAAGAAAGCAACAAAAATACTATTATTAATATCCTAGAATGTTAAGTCTAACACCAGATCATTTATTAAAATAAATTCATTCATGTTTGCTATTTTTACTCCTACTGCAGAATTCAACATTAATAACAGCTAATCATTAAATATAATGTTATTCTGATAGAAGGCGCGGTGTGGAAACAAGTTTATGATCAATCTGTGCCTGTTATTTTCAGCCCCGATCGAAGATCAATATCTTCGACACAGGCTGCTTAGGTATGCTGACGAGCACTACGCAACTATTCATGGAACGCGTAAACCTGCGTACACAGGAGGGTCGTTAACGATCTTTCATGATGCTGGAACGCTTGCGTAAGAAAGATCAGGATCACACGCCTATTTTTCCTTTCTCGAGGTGGATTCTTCATCGAGGAACGCCGATGGAAAACGACCGAGATACCTGTGAGCCTTTATGACTTTCAAACTATCTTACAGAAGAATTATTATCAATCCAAACGTAACTCTGTGTTTATTTCTATCGATTTTATTGGCTAAGAAAATCTAATTCTGGATTATCTCTACTACGTAAAGTTGAAGACACTTGTCATTAATTTTTCAAGAAATTTCTTTTTAATACTATGTGTAAGAAAATTAGACTCTCCTGAGGAAAATCTATATTGCTATTTTTCTTAGGAAAGCCTGTTTCAGTCGTAAGTGTACTTCTGATGAAAGTCTTTCTTTTTGTGAAAATTCTTTCTTTGAAATTGAACTTGATACGGTTAAAGAGAATGTTTCGACGATGATCCTCGATTTCTGTTTTCCACGAAATCGATCTACTTTCTCCGTTTAACTAACCGAATAAATAAAGGTAATTACCAGCAGGTCCCTGACGAGTAATTAATCGGAACTTTCGATTACACGACGAGCCGACTATGACAAATTGCAAATAATAAAATTTCTTGTTTCTTAAATATCATTTTCACCTGTCAACTTCAAATTTTCTCGAATGATACACTTTCTTCCAACGCTCGATGAAAGTCACTAATAATAATTTACAAATAGAACACATAATTCTATATTTTTTGCAAAAGTACGGTATAAAAGCAACGTTAATTCGATTGAAAGTCTCATTAAACGATGCATTTATTTTGAAATGGAATTTTTCCAGGAAGACGTGGACTTTGGTTGGTAACAATGGGCCAATCATGCGAGTATCGCATCATCCCTTGTTTGCATCACGCGATCTTAAAGCTGGTGAATGCGTGGAATGTCTGCCGTAATCAATATTTTGAGAAAGCACGGAATTTTCCTGGATCCTGCAACCGAGCGCAACAGGCTGGAAAGACCTGATACAGGTAAGCAACGTTGTTTCTAGTCGTAATTGAGTCCCGCGACACGAATACCCGAGATTTCGCCATGACACTGGCGCGGAGAAACCGATTTATTGCAATACGATCGAGAACGAGATCGACACCGTTATTGGTATATGGGACTAGTCCTAAAGATTTATTTACATACGTTTGTAGACACGACAAATATTCTTTGATGCGTTTGCTATGATAGCGTTTAATAGAGAACACGTCCCGATCGAACCCGAAAAATTTCAATCGGACTCGACCCGAATTGAATTGAACCGAACCGAACACGATCGGATCCAATATTTTTGAGTTTTTGCACACCCCCAATATTTACATTTAACCCTTTTAGGCTCTTAAAGCTACCCAAGACTTTTTATTCTATATTTCTATTTACATACTTCAATTTTGGGAATCCTTTATTTTTATTTTCTAATCTAGAAAAATCTCTAGAAAAATTCTTATAATTTTTCTAATTTAAAGAGATTTGTGAAGCGTAAAAGTTAAAATCTAAACAATGAGTAGATGAGAAATTCAATCTTTGTTCTTGACATTTGTATCGTTATTAGACGTGTATCGATCCGAAAGAATTTCAAGGTTTTTTCACAACATTTCATAACTCTGCTGTTGTTTTGCTTGCTTGTGGATGATGCTTGGTAAGCATCAAACGGTATGGTTTATGCAAATCTCCACGAAACACGCACGTTCGCGGTAATTTATAAGGTTTTACGAATTCTGTGGAACAACTTTTTTTTGGCTCTCCGAGCTTGGAATGCATTTATTATTTTCTTTTTTACTTGAAATTGAAAGAGGTTTTGGGATTCTGAGAAAAAATAGTTGAGGCACATCGAAAACAATTTTTTGTCTCTAACTATTTAAATGTGAAACAGTTAATTTTTAGAAATTCTTCTGACGGATATTAAGGTGTTGTATATTAAGTGGCAGAATTTGAAACACTTAAAATATGACACAAAAGCACTATAAAATAATAATTCTCTATGCACATACCTAATATCAATTTTATATGGCTATTTTTGAAAATTTATAGACTTTAAATTAATATAAAAGTGTTAATTTATTACACTTTTATATGATCAAATTCTGTAAGAATTGATATGCTTCAAAATATATCATAGTTTACTATAATTAACAACTAGTCATATTTTAATAAGGATATTTAAGAAACTTTTATACAGTTATTTTCAACAAATTCCAAGTTTTAAATTGATATATAATAAGTATTATTTCATTATACTTTTCTGTCATGAAATTGCGTCAGAGTTTTAGTGTTTTGATATCAATTAATATGCATCAGCCTAATAGGAGATAGAATCAAGGAAGTGCATAATATTTGAGATGTCTTAAAAATTGGAGAATAGCTGTACAACAGAATGTTTCAGAGCATAATTCTTCTTCTTTTTTTTTTTTTATCCGAGTCATGCACTATTAATTATAAGACCTCCTGCTGATTTCACGCTACCATACAGTTACTGTTATACGACCGCGTATATGGAGCCCGCTTTTGAGGATGATACACGCTATCGTGATAATTATCTGTAATCGAATGACGAGCCGCCAAGAGAAGCACCTTTAATGAGCCCTCTTGTTTAAGACCAACTGAAACGGACAATGAGCGTGTCATACACTAAGTAGCGTGAGAAAAAGTATGATTTTCGACTTTTATGGTAAAATAACTAGTATCTTACAAAGGTGGATTTTATAGAATTAATGGATCTTGTTATTTTGGATTTCTTTTTATTAAAAAAGAGATTACTGAAAGAAATTATGATTTGGAGCTTTCAAAATGCAGGTCATAAGATTACTAATTTTCGAATTGGAATTAGTACATAAATAAATAAATGGAAATAAATTGAAAAATGTTAACGTAATCATGGAAATATATGTCGAATCGTTCAATTCAAAAGAATAACAAGTATTTTTGTATTGAAAAATCATTCATTATAGAAGAATTGAAATGGTTATTTTATTTTTACTTCTACGTTAAAAGTAATATTTATATTATATTTCAATTTGAAAAGAGGATAAAGATTTGAATGTTCAGCTCTAAAAAAATCTTACTTTTTCACACTGACTTCATTCGTATAAAAAATTTGAAAAAAAAAAAAACAACAAAAAAACGTGTATTATATAAGATGAAAAACGAGAGGTGCAAATGATGGATGCAAATCGTACTGCGCAAATGGAGAAAAAACAGTTACGTGTCCATTCAAATGGACATCAGCAGAGCAAGAAGCAAACTGTCCTGAAACTCCGCTTCATTACTCCGTTTTTTATCATTCCAATCGTAACAACAAATACATAGAATTCTATTCGTTACGTAATACACTTTTTTGATGCTCGTTCTATGTGATATTTCGAGCAGGTGAAATCAGAATCCATTTACGAACGAGCAAAAAACTGACAATTTCTCCAAACTCAATTATCATTTTTCATTAGACAAGATACCTGAAGCAATTGAAAAAATTTCTTTTAACCCTTTTAATTCAACATGAGTACTGTGCATAAACTTCGATTTATAACATTTTTTAAAGTTTATCGCACGAAATTTAACTCTCGAACGGTGAACCATGGAGAGAGCTTCAATTTTAATTTAATTTTATATCTCATATTATTTTCATTTGCTAAAATTCACGCTGCTCCTTTGAAAATTATTCTATCAAAGTATGATTTTTTTTGTTCAAAAATGGTACATTTAACTTTAAATTAATATTTTGTAAGTTTGAATCACAATTGACTCAGGCTCCATCGTTCAAGGGTTAAATATTCAGGCGCAGTAATTAATTATTCTGATTGCAATAAGCAAGAAATATATTATGATTCAAATTATAATAAATTATTATAATTTATCAGAATTACCAACGAAGATTATTCGAACAAAAATTATTCGTTACTCTGAAATATCATAATTATGACAATTTACTAAACAACAAAGTTTCTATTAGCCATACAAAGGCTGCAATAATAAAAAAGAATAACAAAGAGATAACTGATCTCTGAAGACGATCAACCACATCCTCTCTTCACGATAGAAAAACCACATCCCGTCACAAAATTGATCAACCTCCACATTTGCATTATTTAAACACTCGAGAAGATTCCTGGTGAACGCACGGTACATTCAAGAGAGAAAAAATAAAATGGGGATAGAGTGTCGGAACAAACCGTGCGAAGGGTTCTCACATGTCACTACTCGTTGCTTCTTCAACGGATTCGAGACACCGACACTCACTGTCCAGCGTTCCAAAACGCGAACGCGAAGTTTCTCGTCTCCAAAGTTTCGCGGAACACGCGCACAATCTGTTGCAACACCGTGTGTCGTGCAATGTGCACAAGCACGTTGCATGCACCTCACGACGACAGTCGATGAACTGAAGAACCGTGCGCCTTCCGATAGACAAAGCTGCTCCCCGATGGTTGCGCTCCGACCAGCCGGCACCTTCGAAACACCGAACGATATATCTGGGTCGGTGCCTTTCCACCGGTGTGTGGCCGCGTGTAACTTCCACACGGCAATGGGCATTCGATGCGAGGCTTCATTTGTGTTTACCGGTGAATCGAGTGACGAATACGGGTGGGGAATGCGAGAGCGAAGTGGTACGGAGCTTTTCAAGGTGCAAAAATAGAGAATTTCAAAGATAGAGAGTACGAATGATGCCGGACCGTTTAATGAGGATATTGATTAAATTAGACCTAGCTTAGATGGGTTCATTGCCTGTCAGTATTTATTATTAATGATAGGAAGGTTATTAATAACGAGAATTCTTCGGTTCTTCATGAAATAGTTTCAGAATTTTGAAAAGATATTGGAATATCTATTTAACACTTTGATTCCTATGTGAGTGGGACATGAAATAATGTAAAAATAATAGATGAAATGAAATTTTTAGTAGCTTCAGAATGGCAGTCAAAATATTAATATATCATTTTGGGATTTTAAAGTAGATAGATAAGAGTAGGCTTTAATTTTAAATTTCTAAGTTTAATTTGTAATAGTAGAGAAAATAGTAAATTTTCAAATTCTTGCACACCTCTATTAATCACCTTATCGTGCAAATATTTTTAATTATTTTCTTCGTTAGGTGTAAACAAATGAACACATTAAAGTTTTTGTAGTATGCTTGAGTAGTCGATGGAGGTTCTAATCAATAGATTCCACTGATCGCAAATTGTTAGTCAGTCGTGAGACTCGATTACATGCTCCTGCATTCTTCTGCATTTAATTTCCTCAATTGGTATGACAGAACGGTGTTGTATTTACAGTTTTCTAGTTAGGAATGCACCACACGTGCAGGTGAACTAGTCGAGTGTTTAGCAAGCAACGGAAGAATGGCTAGCTTAAAGGCCAATTAACATAGGTCAGTGATGTTTATGATATAACCGCAGGATTTTACGTAAGCTCTATTCTATTAAACTTTCAATAGAATATACCTTTTCCAATTACAAATAGAAAATTCTGAACTTTGTACCCGTTTGTATGTTCAAGTAAATCATCATTAAGTCTATTTGTATTATAATTGCATTAAGTTTCATAAGAAATATTTCGTTAAGCAATCTAATATATTCGGTTTTATAGATAAAAAATTTCGTATGCATGTGAAAATAAGGAATGTAGAGTGGGAAAGAGTTCCAGCTAGCTGCCACTGGAATGCTCATTTATGTTGTAACTGGCTAGTGAAATTTCCTGATCGTCTTGTCCCATTAAACGTCATTAATTTGATTCGGTTCGAAACAGAGAGTAATATAGAACGTTCTTTTCTTTTTTAACACTCCTTTTACGTTTTCGTAGTATAGAAGCTTAAAAGTTGAGAAATTTAGAAATTTAAAAGCTCATTAAATTGTAATTTTACAAGTATGCAAAGTTGCTAATTTACAAACTTGCAAATTTGCAAAGTTCCATGCTTTAAACTTGCAAGTTTGTAAACTCAAAAACTTGCAAAGTTGCAAACTAAAAAAACTTGAAAAGTTGCAAATTAGTCACTTAAAAACTTACAGAGTTGCAAATTGAAAAACCTAATTTTTGGGTTAAATAATGCCAGAATAAAATTTGCATCCAAAATGGAAAACAATAAATTTAGTCTCTGGAATTATAGTAAAAGAGGTTGCCATAAGTTTCCATGGAAGTCAGCCACTGGCTGTTGCTGATGGTAATAAACGAACGTCGAGAATAAGAGAAACCGCAAAGTGGAAACGGGAAGTAAATTAATCTGGTTGAAGGTAAATTAATTAATTCGATACGTACGGTGCCTTCCTTTCTGGGCTAGTGTGCAACCAGCAGTTGGAATAATTGAAACC